AAGTGAAGAACCAAACACAAAGCTGCAATATGTATTCATAAAATTCATGAGCCACGGTAATGAAATCTAGCCAAAATTAAATGTTTTGCTTGGAAATGGTTAAAATAACATGGTCTCTTATGCCCTGCATAAAATCATACAACCAAAAGTTGGAATTAATAGGCTTGAAAAAAAATTCTTTGCTTTTAATGGTGATGAGAGAGTACTTGCGAATCCTACAGTAAACCGACAGTCAGCTGATGCATGCTTACAGTACACCAGGGAGGTATTTATACCTGTAATGCTTACATTAGCATGATGCTACAGTACACAGTCATAATGCCACTTAAGTCATAATAAATCATGCTTGGTTTAACTGATTTTCCACTGCAATTTTGCCAAGTTGAGAATCGACCTTTGGAGAAATTTACAACAAGTTAAGTAGTTTAATCTATGAATAGAATTTCCCGGAGCAGGTGATATCACAGTAATCATACTTAACAGTGATCTTGTTAAAAAAATTCACTGATCCTACTCAAGAAATTATTTTAAAAATAACAAACTCAAACATAATCTGCCTTTTACATTCCTCTGACTGAAACATACTCCTTGAGTTGGACATAATCAATGTTAATTCATGCTAAGCTGGGCACAATTCTCAGTCTAATTGGTAAAAACAATCGGTTATGTCCACCTCGTTCCGTACGAATGTTGTACAATGCAGTATGTGCCCGGCTTGAATTTGGTCTTTCCTAATCAAATACTGTATCCCAGAATGTTATTGGGATGTTACTTAAAAACCATAAAACTTCACCATGATCGGGGGGAGGGGGTGTGAAGGGGTGGGCTCACATGCCATATAAAAACTCATGTCCCCAGTCAGCCCACACACAGAAAATGTGTGAAACAAATAAATTCACGCTCATGTAGATAACAATCACCGTATTTTGTGAAGTTCCCCTTCATTTAATCATCGAGGCTCCCACCTCACTTTCTTCCCCCATTTCAAGACTTCTAGATAGGCTTATGCCATTGCTCTCCCTATACTTTTGTAAAGCCCCTTTCAGATAGATGTTGCCGCAATATTGCGGTAAGCATGCCGGTATAATAACCGGTCTGTAACCTTTCACACAGCACCTTTGTTACCGCAATACTGTGGTAATCTAACGCTTTTCTGTCTGAAAGGGTCATATAGAATTGCGTACTATATTGACAGTTTAAAACACAGAGAGCGATTTTTTTTTCCTTCACATTCTTGCCAATATAGCACCCGATCAAACTTTATTTACGGCAGTTGTTGTGTAAATGTTACTTGGTTCTGTGTACGTATGCGCTGTACATGCATTACACAAACAGAATGATCTTATTTCGGCTAGAGCAATATGAAAGATCATTTTGAAACCGTTTAAGGTGAAGGAGATTGGAATTTCCAGCAGCTAAACAATGGCGATGAAAATTGGGGGCTTTATTTTTGACAACCCGTGAAAAGATGTGAAAAAAATAAATAACAAGTCGCTCAACTGTTTTAAGTTTAACCTTGTTTATTTATGCATAAATGCACAGGCTGGCTTGATTGCTGCAATATCGAGTTGACCCTTTCAGACAGAGCAAGCCAGTAACAATTACCTCAATATTGCAGCAATATTACTAGGTGCCGAGATGGTCTTAAGTAAGCCGGCATACTGGCGTATCGACCCTTTCACACAAAAACCCATGACGGCGTGCTTACCACAATACTGCGGTGTTGCAGCTCTGTCTAAAAGGGGCTTAAGGCTGATCACGCTGCAAGTCACATGACAACTACTAGTTCTCAGTCAGCGATTATTTCTATGGTATTCAAGAACTTACTTGGATACAGTAGCTTATTGATGTCTCAAGTGGCTTAGAAAAGCTCACAAGAGTCAAGCCACTAGACATAACGGTTTGTCGCATCTTTTTCTTGTCCATTAAACCATGTTTATTATTTCATATCTGTTAATATCAGTAGACAGCTTAAATTGACTAAATATGGGCCTATCATCGATGTGATCTTAACAGATTAAGTTTTTATATGCACAATTTTTGAAGCCCAGCAGCTTTTAAATTTAAATTAATAATGAGGCCTAGGATATTTTATGAGATGATATAATATGACCAAGAGCAGCGAATATTGCACATGATGCTTTTGCTAAAATCTCCTCTATTATCAAATTGGAGTACGTGCCAAGTGCATCAACACAATATGACTTGATGAAAGGAAATTGGTACTATGATTATATGAACAAGCATTTCGCTTAAATAGATTATTCATCTTCATTTCCTAATTCAGTTCGCCCCTTAAATTCAAGACTTTTCTAATTTTGAGATGGCTTTTTCAAAATAGAGCAATCTTTAACATTTTAATAATGCAAGGCTGAACCCTAAGACTACCCCACATTTCCAGGTCCAAAACCTGGTCTTAAATTGGAAAGTGAATTGTACTGTTTTATTACAGTACCTACAGTATTAGATTCCAACAAGAAATATTCATTAGACTATTGGTCTGGTTCTATACTTTCACTTTAAAACCTAGCATTGCTGCTTGTCTCCCCTTTTCAGATTTGCTGCATTCAGATTTGCTGCATATTAACCATGAAATTTGTGTAATGAAATGAAAGCAAATACCCAAATTTGCCTTACATCTCACTTACAGTAGTAGTTGGCAACTAATAATTGGAAGGGGATGTCATAAGCAGGGCAAAAATAGTGCACGACCATGCGACCCACAGCCGGAGACATCATGCATTTTCCCTGGAGACCAAGTTCTCTACCTGCATGAAATGAATTTTAATATCATCCATCATTTTGTAGTCTCTACATTTTTGGCTTCAAGCAGTTCACAATTAATTACAAGTAGAACATTGATACATTCTGTTAATCACCATCTCAATCTATTATTCAGTCCTTTTTTATTTTTCCTCCCAGATTGAAATAACTACTAACTTTTTATCTGCTAACAGTACATAGGTCAAACCTCATTTACATTTTGTTATGGTAACCATTATCACAAGTTTGAATAATTACCTTTCTTCTAGCCAGCCATGATTCTGAGGTTTTGACCTTAATTGACTAGATGAAACCACAAAATTCATTGATTCATTCACTGAAAAAATACACATACTGTAATTATGTATGTATGTAAATCGCTTGCTAATTTTTTTTTTTTTTTTTTTTACAGTTTTTTAATTTCTAATTAAAAATGTCATTTTTGTTATTGTGAAAATCTCCATATTTATTGAGTATTTGAAGTTGCTGTAAACATGTACTGTACATTCTCAATCTACGCTATGAATGTTTTAATGAACAATGTTCTTCTAGCCAGGAAAAGAAAGTCATATTCTGTATGTCTAATTCAATTAATTTTATAATGCTTAAATTTTATTATTCATTGCATTTTACAACAATTGCATGAATAATTAGATCTAATCATTAGCCCAGAAAGTTCTATAATCCACACTAGTACTATGCTCTATTAAGCACAAGCAAATAGTAATTATAACAGGCAATTTAAGGTGAGGAAATATAATTCAATTTTACTTTCCTGAACGTTAAAATCTATCGTCCTATGAAGGAAATATCTACTGATTGAGGAAACAAACCACCTTGAATTTAAAAACAAATGCTGTAAATCACTGTAAAAAATGGGGGAAAAAATTAACCAAACTACAATATAGCAGTAAAATAATAATTAAAATATTTTCTATATGGTAGTAATGTTCATTTTAAAAAAATAAGATCCACCGAGTAAAGCCTGGTTTCCATAAAATTGCTACACTGTCACTACAGTGGGTTTACTGCAATCATTATACAGCGTAGCTGCCCCAATGCAATCAGGAACGCCGATTCAACCGACCCACCAGCGCGTTCCCGAAAAACTATCAGCGATAGTTTGTACTCTGTAGCGAATATTTTTTTTTTATGGCAACAACACTTAAGAACACTGGCTTTACCAACCATGATTCAGAGCTATTTTGCAGATTTTAAAAAATGTTTGGGGGCTTTGACAAGCTTTCAGTCAATATATTTTTAAAATTTAAGCAAAAATCAAAGTTATCTTAAAAAAATCAGTTGTAAGTTTGCCACAAAGAAATGTTGTCCAACACGTAATTTTGTACATTTTGGAAATGTTATATATACCTTGATCCTTTTTGATTTGTTTTGGTATTTTAAATTTTACTGTTTCTTTATTAATTGATGAATAATAAAACATTAAACGAATCCTTATGCTGGAAATCATTAAACGAATAAATATACTGGGTTTACGTATTGGCAGTACACAATATGGGCAATAATTTATGATCTTTTGCTGTTTTGGTAGTTTTCAATGTCATTTTGGTTTTATTGCCGTATTGGTTATTGCCGTTTTGTTTTTTTGCCATTTTGACTAGGCCTAGGTACTCCACAGCCCCCTGTCTGTACCACCATCAGTATGACAAAAAATTTTATTTTTCTTTTTATTCCCAGGCTTTATTCTCAGGCACACATCTGCATCAAAACAGACTGTGCCCAACCTATAATAAAATTACTCGTCTTTTAGTCTTAAACTCTTTAGCTAAAAGGTTTCTAACCGTATTCAAAACAAACCACTACTAAGCACCATCACAACCGTAAGTCTAATATAAACAACGGTCACAAAGCTAGGCTAGGCCTGCTGCAGTGTTGAATATCTTTTACACTGACTCCTTTCAAAGCACTTATCTCCCTCACAGAATCAGTCGGCAGTCAGCTCAGTCGGCTTACCCACTATATCTCATCAAATAAAGATCTCTTAAAGTCAACCTCAAATATAATCATTGTCAAAAGGTATAAACAGATGAAAATAATAGAAGCAATCAGTGTACTTACTTTCAAAAATATTTAAGCTCTTTAATAGTTTGGTGGCGTTCATTATGATGCTTAATACATCAGTCGGTAATTATTGTCCGCCATTTAGACTGTTGGGATTAACTTTGTTGGTATAAAAAAGTGAACCATTGGAATACGTCACTCGTCACGTGTTAGGTCATAGGTCGTTGTTATTATTGCCATTTCGCGGGAAATTTGTCTTGTGTACAGGTGGAAAATTGAGTCCTAGCAATAAGTTTTTTTTACAGATTCATATCTTTTAATTTTTAAAAACATGGGTAACGAAGGATCTAGTCAATCTCAAGCTCAATCTGAACCAATCCCAAACACGGTCAATATAGACTGGGATCTGCGAGACCCAGATCAAAACGACGACCTGTGTAGCTCAAGAGATGGTCACACAGCGTGTGCAGTCGGTGCCTGCGTGTACGTGTTTGGTGGTGTTCTTGGTTCGTCAACAAATAGTATGCCCGTGGAATCAAATGATCTATTCGAATACAATGTCGGTACGGTGCTTTATTATGCAATGTGTTTAAATTACTGTTGAATCCTACAGCAAGGGCTAGCTTTCCTTAAATCAGAGAGTAATTTGTTAGAGTTATAATAATAGGACCTGGCCTTTAGGCTGGCCTAGGTAAAAGTTAGTGTCTCACTCTATAGAACTAGATAGTAATATAATATACAGTAGTTGTTAGTATATTAAATATAAATAAAAGCTCCCTGCTAAAATATGTACAGCCTAACAGGGCTAGAAATTAGTGGTCGCCAGTGGCGACCTTTTTTGGCGTCGGACGATAACAAATGTTTTGGGTATCGCCCTGTTTGGCGACCCTTACTATTTTGGGTTGGTGAAAAAATAACCAACTACTTTTATCCATTTTGGCGAAAGGCTTAAAATCATTTAAAAGTTTCAAATACTTGCTAAAATACATGGGTTTTTTTTTCGTCGGAGCTCCATTTTTCGCCAATCCATCATAGCCATGCGAAGTTTATTTGTGTTGTTGTATTGGTAGTCTAGCTGCAAACGTCATTGTGTGCTTCGAATTTTGTTATTCGTTATTTTAACGCGGTGGATGAAGGGCAGTGGCTGTATGGCGACGACTATATGAAGGTGAATCACCTCATGTACGACGATTACACGAAGGAACTATATTCACGACAGCCGGCTAGCTGGAAGTGTACCCTTTGGGCGCAAACTAGCGACAAAGTATACCTAAAGGCAGCCGACCGTCGGGTACATAACAACTTCCGAGCTTGTTTATCCATGGAGGACTACCTATGCTTAGGCCTAGGATCAAGGTCTATGCATGCGATGGTGGTAGAAATGTCATTCATATTTAGTTAATCAATGATTTCGTGTTCTCACCTGATATGTAAAATACATTTAAGTAATGCGTGTAATATTTTAAGAATGCACCACGTTGGTTGCTCTGTTACACGGTGTAGGTACTACTAGAGCAGAGTGACGGCAGTAGGGACCTAGTAGTAGCGGTTTAATCTGCCAAGGCTAGGCATAGCCTACTACTAGGCTACAGTAGGTCCAGATCGTAAGTCCTTGATCATTGCAGTGAAACATTTCGGCCTATTTCCAGACGATCAGACCCAAGCCAATTTTGAATAATCCTTGTTGGAACTTTATGTCCTGATACATAATTATGCTGAAAATGCATAAAATACAGGTTTTCTGGAGACACTATTGTTCCACTAGCTCTCAAAAGTAGGCTTTTCTCAGTGCTCCACGATCTCCCCCCCCCCCCCCCCCGATATCGTTCTAAACTAAAAGGAGAATAATTTATACCTAGGCCTTTGTAATTTGTTCAACTTTTGTGTTATATTTAGAAAACTTTTGAATCATTCATTTATTCATTTTCGTTTATTCATTTCATTTTATTTATTCATTCATTCAATTATTTTCAATTATTCATTTTTATTCATTTATTCATTCATATTATTAATTATGGTTATAAAACAAATACTGTACCTCGTTGGTATGCTAAAAATAATAAATTGCCTATCAAATAATGTTATTTTGATTGCCAATCTCTATGTGGTCTAAAATCACATTTTTATAACCCTTGTGTCGATCGTGAATACAATGGATTTTTTCTCGGACTAATGATTTTGGTTAAAGACAGATTCAATTGCCAAATTGGCTAAAAACAATTATTACACCAATGTAATCTTGCTGGTTTTATTGATTTTGTTTTTTCGTAAAATTATATTTCGGACCGTAAAAAAAATAGGACCAGTATAACCTTGGAAGGGCCAGTATAATTTTTCCTTACTGGCCCTGCTGGCCACTATGGTTTTGAGGTTAATTTTCAGCCCTGTTGAATTCGGTCACTCCTGACCACTGCCTTGCTTCTGCCCTAAGTCAAAAAAGCAACCCTAATAACTTAACATTATAAAGCAACAAGTCCTATCTTGGATTTTCACCCCCACAATTTGTGAGCCAAAAACACAATTCAAATAATGGAACATAAAAACTCATTTTTTCTATCCCTTTTTTCGACACTGTACATTTACTGGCTACATCATTTGAATGAACAGTTTGTTTTTAATACCTGTCTCTTATACACATCTAGATGTGTATAAGAGACAGAATGTAATCTTGCTGGTTTTATTGATTTTGTTTTTTTCGTAAAATTATATTTCGGACCGTAAAAAATATGGGACCAGTATAACCTTGGAAGGGCCAGTATAATTTTTTCCTTACTGGCCCTGCTGGCCACTATGGTTTTGAGGTTAATTTTCAGCCCTGGCCTAACTCCACGCTTTCCAAACTATGGGTCCACAAATGGGTCGCCAAACATTTGCATTGGGTCGCGAGCAGGTTTGCAAAAACACTTTTAATTTATTTGCTCATTTTCACACAGTTGTTGTGAAGTTGAACAGGTCTGACGACTTAAAAAATGTATTTTTAGGTGAATCCTCATTAGAACAATATTTTGTTATATACCTACAATGAATATTCTGAAATTCATATGACTATTATTTTTCTGTTGCCATTTACCACAACATAATTGTGAAAACCTAAGCTTTCAACTGTTTAAAAACAATTTATAGAAATAAATTTAAAACAGAAAATTACTGTCAGGTGACCTAAAAACAACATTATACAAATGAATTTCAAATGTGTAATTATTGAAATGCAAACAATAGGCCTAATGCACCAAAAAAAAAACAGTCATGCATTTTGGTTGATAAGATTATACAGTACAATCACAAGGTTAAAATTCAAATATATAATTTAAATGTTGAAGATATTTTCTACAAAAAGGCCGGTTAAATTATTGTTTCAAATAATAAAAGTTGTCTCACTTTCCAGTGGCGGATTCAAGGCTCTTCCTCCCACCCCACCTTCCAATTAAAAAAAAGTTATGGACAAAAAAGAAATTGTGTACGGTATTCAAATGCAATCTGAGTGCCATTTCCATCCATCTACGGGTGCCATAATCAAAATAAATCATAAAATTTCTTACCTCCACCCCAACCATGGTGGGTCTGATGCACCCTCTTATCTGTGAAAATCCCTCTTTAGGCGTCCCTCTATTACAAATTCCTGTATCCCCCACTGTTTTCTCAAAAGGACGATCATTAGTAAACAAAAAACAACGCTCTAATACTAATGTCTTCATTTGTTAAAACATAAAGCATCACATTTTGGAGATCTTAAAAAGGTTGTTGTGCAATTTACTCTGACATTTAATATTACATGGGTCGAGGCTTGTCTGGGTAATCACAAATTGGGTCCCAGAGAAAAAGTTTGGGAAGCAGGGGCCTAACTATTCTTGATTAAGTCTACAGCTTACAAGTCATTCAACCTAAAGCTAAACCTAAAGGTTTGACAATAATGTTAAGTATTTTGTTAAACTAATCAGAATGTTATTTTAAATTTATTTATAATAATAATTCAGTTGACTTTGTTAACTATACACATCAATTTAGTAAAATTAAGAAATAAATGTATATTCTTTCATTGTTGAGTTAACCACAATGTCAATATACCACTAAACTAGACTAAAAATAAGGCTTGTGTGTGTAATATATTTCCTGCGCAAAAATTAGGCCTAGAATTCCATTCTGTGCATTTCTGAAAATGAGCCGATTTCCGTGCATTTTTGCCAAATATTAGGCCCCTCGCCTATCTTTCCAAATACAACTAATGTATAACCAGTTAATTACGAGTCCGCTCACCTATTTCCTAGTGATTTTCTGAGCTAATTTGAGTGGAATTTTTCGAGATATCCTCCGTGCAAAAACAAAAAAAACTTTACGGTGTGGTACACTATTCAGGGATAAAAATAACTTGGATACTGAATGTACAGAAATACACTTACATGGTTCTGTGTACACATTTTACTGCGCCTTTTACTGTACTTCTTATGTTAATTATTTGAAAATATTATGTTCTAATTCTAGAAAAATTAGCCTTAGTATGCCTACACTCTAGCTAAGGTATATAAGTGTATGAACAATTGTAAACTTTGAAATTACAGATTTGAAAAAGTGGAGGAAAATTGACGCTAAAGGAGAAATCCCTAAACCCCGATCTGGTTCAACTATGGTTTCTGTGGAAAATAAACTTTACTTGTTTGGTGGCCTAAGTCAAAATGTTGGTTGGTTTGATGACCTGAGTGTTTTCAACATAGGTAAGATTTGATTACTTATTTACTTGATTGTGGTTTTTATAAAAATGTTTTAATGGTTTTTTTTGTTGTTTTTTTTTAGTATTCAATCTATTGCCAAAAAATACACATTTTAATTGAACCTGATCTTGTCTCCATTGGTAATGTTACCTTTCAACTTCGACAGATACAACATTATGGGATGTTACCGTGGGAAATAGTCTTGTGGGCCGCCCGATAGGACTAGACTTGAAGAGACGAGTCTTGGAGGAATACCGGCGTGGATAATCTGCGTCTTGTGACCACGTAGAGTACAAATAAACCCTTTTATATTCAGCTTGAATTGGTGTCTTGACTATCATTGTATCTCTGATTGAACCATGGAACACTTTGTTACAGTAATACAACATACTGTAATACAAAAGGGAAAATTTGAAACGTGCTGTACTTGCGCAAATAAGCGCCCCTCCTAACGTGAACATTTTCTTAGGTGCCCCGCTTTAATAAGCGCCCCCTCAATGTTTATTCATTTTTTAATACAATATGTGATTTTTTTTTTTTAGCTAGACAGTAATCCAGTCAATCCTGTGACTGTTTATCATGATTTGATCTGTGGAGTGGATTCACATTTTCTTCATATGTCAATTTCAAAATGAGGATATTTTCTCCTGGACAGTATCTTTGCAACTTTCCTCTTCTTTGTCTAGTCCTACTTCACTTTTCTTTTCCCGACAATTTGCATCTTTAGCACTACTCATCTGAGTTTACAAGAAGCCCTGTGGCCAACAAGCTTTGAACCACCACCAATTTCATCTGCTGTTGAAACTCACAACATTCTTGTCATGAGCCGTGCTCTCGAGACAATTATCTTTTCTGCACCAGAACCATTTGTAATTTTCCAGATGTCTTTAATCTTTTTCTGTTCAGAAGGAGCCCTTGAATTTTTCAAGTTCCCGTAAGAACCCCACAATTTTCATATATTTCCATAAGCGCCTTCTCAATTTCCACTCTGTTTTCTTAAGCACCCCGTTTGAATGAACGCCCCTCAAAAGTGCAAAAAATATTTTAAGTGCTCGGGTGCTTATTCGCACGAGTACGGTATTTCTAAATTGATTACCAGCAAATTTAATGATTTGTGCAAAAAATATAGAAAGTTTATTTTATGCTATTAATATATAGTCAAAACTTTTTCAAATTTTCCGATTTCAATTAAATATACAAAGTAGGGAATTCCAATATTAATTCTTATTGAACACAGACCGTATCAATAATGATGTATTCTTAAACTCCTGCAGAAACTGAAATATGGAACAAAATTACAGCAGCTACTGGAGCAGCACCAAGCCCCAGAGATAAATTGACATCAGTTGCCATCAACAAAGTGCTTTATTTCTTTGGTGGATTTGGACCTCATGCTGCTGGAGATGACTCATCACAGGATTCTCAGGATGAGGAATGGGAAGATATGGAAGATCAGCAACCGAGAGGCCCAAGTGCAAACTTTGGCTGGTTTGATGATGTTTACTCCTTTGACACAGGTAGTGTGAAAATAATGTTGTCACTAGTATTATAAAAATTATATTTTTCATTTTTGTATGAATTTTAAGTCAGATTTAATACGGAGAGCTCCCTTACAGTGAGCAATCCAGTCAATTTTTTTTTTATGACTTTGTAAGCTTTTTTTTTCAAATGTTGTATTTCTATCTTGTTATCTTGTTTGTCTTTGTATTTTAAATGTTTTATCGATGAAATAAATGATATGATATGATACACATCTACAATAAACCCTGCACTTGAAGAGGCACTCAAAAAAAAAATTATAATGTTTAGTACTGTGCATATTCAATCATTTACAGTATGATGTGTATTGTCTTCTTGAAAACTGAATAAATTTAAATACATTATATAATCACCAAATATGGTACCATATTAAATGTTTTGTTATCATGAAAGGATTTTTTTTCCCTAAGATTCTGCCTTTTAATGTATCACTCTTACGTTGAATCTAAAACAGAGGCAAACAAATGGGAATTGGCAACACCTATCAAACTTCATGCTCCCTCGCCTCGGGCTGCTCACAGCATGTGCTCAGTTGGAGACAAAATCATCATTTTTGGTGGAAGGGACTGCGAAGCTCGAAGGAATGACATGTTCATGCTTGATACAAGTAAGCTCTGTTAGAAATAACATAACCTATATTTATATTTTGTTAATTATTATAAACACTTTAAAAGTGTACAAAAGTTAAAATATCTAGTAAAATTTCAAATTTAGCCTAAAATTATTTTATATTTATTCACTTAATAACAACAGCTAGTTGTTAGCAAGCAACACAGTTTGTAATTAATATGTAAAATTCTGTGCACCTCTATATCATGCACAATACAAATCCCACTTATGTTTTTTTTTTAAGTTTTTATAATTGGCTAAATCTTTATTTGTAATCCCTATCAGCTGAGAAGAAATGGTTACCTATTAATGGCCAGGGATCTACTCCAGCTCCACGTTCCTTCCATTCCATGGTAGCCGTCGGTAAACGGGTTGTGGTATTCGGAGGTCGCAGTCAAAGCAACCAGCATTTTAACGATTGTCATATATTTGATACAGGTTAGTTTCAGATATTTATTCACAAAGGTGTTTAGTGTACTCATCCTGCAATTCCAGATTTTCTTGGTTCAGTCATTTGCAAATCATTTTTCAATGAATGCACAATACAAGAGAAATCATTCTGCCATGTAAGAATCTTTGCCAAGGCTTACAAATAAGTATGTAGCATATATTTGAACCTCCTATTAATGACCTGTTGTAACTAAAAATTGTCGGAAGTGTTCTAGTAATTGATAGTAACAACAATGTTAAAAATATAGTAATGATACCTAAATATAGCAGCATAGTTTCAATGAAAAGTCAATGTATATAAATAACATGTACAATGTCTGTATCGTCTACTCATTGTTATAGTTCTGTCAATTAACATTTATTAAACACTGATGCAGACAATAGTATATTTATATGCCTTGACCTATCTGCAGTTTTGTATTGTTTACCATTATCATATTGTTTACCATCATTGATTAAATGTCATTTGAATTGAATTAGTTGAAAGTACAAGAGAGCTTATTACCTAAAAATTGACATGTGAATGAAATAAGTGGTAATGTTGATTAGATGTTAGTTGAATTTTCTCCACTTCCTCTCTAATACAGAAACCATTGAGTGGCTTCAGCCGACAAGTAAAGGGAGTTTGCCAGAGGCGAGAGGATCTCACACTCTAACTAACGTTGGTGAAACTCTGGTTTTGTTTGGAGGTACTTCCGAATTTGACACAGAGACGATGCAATGCAAAAAATATCATTCTGATGTGTGCCTATTGAAGACAGGTACGTCTAATAAACCGTAACTGTTGTTTGTAGGCCTAATAAGTATTGTTAAACTCCAATCATCTGTTATCTGTAGTGATTGCAATAAAGTGGATTTGAGATTTGAGACCTACTATTAGAAGTGGAGTGGAATAGCTTGTGGTTAGGATGCTGCTATTGGTCAACTATTACCATTTGAGTGTCAGTGATTATACATGTCACACAACCTGAAAAAACCAAAGTGTTTGGTGTTGACAATCCTGCAAATATGAGACACAACCTTGTTGCTATTGGACCTAGCTTGCTGAAAATTCATCCCTATTATTTGAATTCATGTACCACTTGACGGAAGGAGATTTTTCTGCTTATATCTAAATATGCCATTTGTATTTGGACTAAAACTTATCAAATACTATGTTGCAGCTTATCCAGTTGACCATAAACAAATAATTAAGTTTGCCAGTCTATATATTTTCTATACTGTATTCTTTGACATGTGTCCTTCCTTTTACAGTGGACATTCTTTCTGGGGCTGCAATACCAAAAGAGGAAAAGGAGTATGAAAAGGCTGTTGATAATATACAATCAGGAAAACAGCCAGAATTTCCAACTAAGACTACAGAGCAAAAAGCTGAAGGTGATACCCCAAATGGTCAAGAGGTCTGAAATGATTTGAATCAAATCAGATTAATATAAGTTTTTGTTTTGCCAGTGGAATTTCAAATGCCAATTTCGACTCCGTTCATCAATGGGACCAGTCCATAGAAAAATCTATTGAATTAAAATAAATAAATTTGCATTTTGTATTTTTTTTTTTTTATGTATGTAATTATTATCAACCTTTTATACTATTTATGTACAGAATATTGTATATAAATGTCAATGAATAAATACTTGTATGTACATGCAATCTAGTAATGTAATGCTAAAAAGATTTGTACTCAGTTATTGACGTCCTGTGAAATAAATACACCTACAGTATTCACATAGTGCCTATTGAGAGTGCCAACCTAATACTTCAGTGATGGTATGTCCCATGACTTGGTCTACCATAGATCTCAAACATATCCATGGTTCGTATTGCATCTGCATACAATATTTCATTCCAGTTCACTTTTGTTGCCATGGGACTTGACTGCAAAAATGCTATTGTGATGGTCAACATTATACATATAATTCAGGGGCGGATCCAGAATTTTTCAAATGAGGTAGGTGGGGGGGGGGGGGGAAGGGGGGGGGGGGAAACAACAGTTTCAGAATAAATAAGCCAGTAGCACATAACATTAATATGCATTAAAATTTGTGGCAAAACCGGGGAATGTGGCCTACGTTCCCTCTGTTGGATCTACGCCTGCATTGGTTGTCCCAGAAGGACTTCACCTACCATGGATGCCCAACATTTCCTATTTTGTGTGCTTCTTATTGCATCTATATTATATATCATTTCAGTCCATTGATGAAGCTACTGACTTTACTTCAAAAGTAGCTTTTGTGATGGTCAACATCCAAAATGATACATAAGTGGTGGCATGTTCTAGGACTTGGCCTACTATGGATCTCAAATGTTTCCTATGTTATGCAGTTTTTATTGCACTGACCACAAAATGGAACAATTTTTTAACCTACAGCACAGTACATTGCAGCATAACTCATTTATCTAAACTGCTGATAGCCACTGGGTGGGTGTGTGTGTACACTAAATCCCGGAGGCCCATTCAAATGTGTTTGTCCCTGGCATAATTCCATTACTGCTTTCTTTGAATTTCTACTGAAATGCTAACATACAAAGAAGTGCAGTCTTTCAAAGGCACCCAAAAAGCCTCATGTCTAGAATAAAGCAATCAAGAACAAACTTTAAAAGCACAGTTCCTTTTATTCATCAGTACCAAAATTGAGAAGCAATTCAGATAGAGAAATACAGACTATAAAAGAAATAGGACAAAGGGCCCTGTTGAAAAATATAAAGACTATTTACAAGCCTTGACTTTTGTAATTCCTGAAGCATCTACCAGTAACAATTACTTTTTTATTTAGCAAGTAAACTTAATTATGCATGGAGGCATGATAATAAAATATATATATTCTTTCCTGGTTGGCATATGTTAGGCACACACATAGAGTCAACAGTACTGCTCCAGACAATGACAAATTCAAAGGTTTTGCCTATTACAGACATTGTGATATTTGATAGGAGAATGCTACTCTGATCTCTCGTTGAGGTACATTTACTAAGTACAGATTAAAGCCCATCTTACATGATTGCAATCCAGCTGATACCAGACCTCAGCTGAATTCTTGCATCTACTTAGTTATCATGGATTCTGCACCCAGGAACAACACCTCAGCTAAAAAAGAATTTCCTTATTAGAACACACCCCCATATGTGCAGGAAATGCAAGGGATAGGTGCATGAGTACACACACTGTAAAGTAAATATATAGATATGTGCAGCTAGCCATACATTATTTACCGTAGAAAAATCTTGAAAATATATTATCTATAGTACAAAAGCTGGTAAGAAGATATACTGTGCAAGCTTATTACCTGTGCAAATCTTATATCAATTTCTAAAGACCAAAATATAGTATAATTTATATAGAAAACTCCAAAAAGAATATTAACAAATATAATTATAACCAGATCAACAGTATACTTTCTATTCTATAACTTAAGGAAATTGCACAGGCTTTCCTAAACATCTGATAAAAAATCTTTAATATAGAATTTCTTGGTAAATAACTGATTTATAATCAATTAAATATCTCACCATAAAGACATTTTAGCATGTAGTTACAAAATCATTATAAATATCTACATTATTTAAGTCCGATTTCCACATCAACTGAAAATTACCTGATAAATAACTAACCAATAAAAAGGCATTGTCTGTAGAATATGGCCCACAATGCAATGGTACTATAAGTAAAGTACCATCAAGCGATGTTCCTTGCTTGTCAGTTTTATGGACATTTTACACACCCAGCATTAAAAGCAACAGTGAAAACAACTGTAGGATGAATGGTAAAACTCACTTTTCTTGAATCTGGTACAAATTCCATGTAAATGGGATAATTACCAGAAAATTTTGAATTCTATTTTTTATGCTGGAATTCTATTGGATAATTATTAAAAGACAATTTTTAAAATGGACAAATCAGAAACATAGCTGTAGCCATTCACCAACTGAACCAACACACAAATTGTTTGACTGCATTGCAATCCTAAGAGAAAATCTATGTTTTCAATTAGTATTCTATTTACTAAATACATTAGAAAAATATCATTTATTTAGTATGCATTTAAAAGCATACGAATCAACTACGTCGCTAGATTTCTCACGAAAAATTCATTTTCTTTTTGATAAACAAATATCATTAACAGTTATATTTGGGCTCTGTCTATATATATTTCTCCCTCTCTTCCCATATAATTACAGTACCTCATATGTGTAATTTAATTAGAACAATTTGTTTTAGTTTTCTGGTTTAAAAAATACATAGTACTTGAGTAGAAAAGATTGACCTTGTCGGCACAAACCCCAGGGTTTCTCATGGTTCTACTTTCGCATTTTTTCACGTTAATAATTTGTACTTTTGGTATCATTAATGAAGAATACAGATTGTTCTGACGTATTGTATTCCAATATCAATTTCAATATCAGCTATGATAGGCGTACTACATGATTTCCCAGGTTTTGTTTTACATACACAACCACTCAATAGTACAGATACATTAGATAACAACTATTTCCCCCCTTAGCCTCTGTACGGCATAATTTGTGTTTTCATATTTTCTCGATGTAGTTTGATGGAAACAATCCTTCTCTGCCTTTGAGCTTTCCCCTCCACCAACCACTGTCATCTGTGAAAGAAAAAATATAGGTTTATTTTTTATTTATAGTACATTTTTTCCAATAATAAAAATGTCAGTCTTAGGATAGTCTTAGTACTCTATATAGATAAATATATTTTTCAGGCAAGAAATACTTTTGTATTTTTTCCCCTATCTTTGACTGATACATATAACCTGACAGTTAATTAACTTGTTGATTACCTTCTTTGAGAATGTAGAAAACATCGCCTGTGTTAAAAGTAAGCTCATCTGTGTCCTGAGCATCGTAAGCATACAAGGCTTTGCACTTGGGGTAGTTTGGCTGAGGCTTCGGTGCTCTAGCTGGCCTTGGTTGTCCCGATGCTGGTGGTGGCCTCTTACCTGGCCTTAAAGACTGCCTCATCCTCCTACAAGTGATGAGAAAATTAAGTTACTTATTTTTCCTTTTATACACATTTTATCGGGTCTATTATTTGGAAACAGCGCAACTTGTCACTGGGGGACTTCAAGCAGCCTTGCCTGAGCAGCTAGCTAATTACTGTAGGCCTATGTAAACATAAAAATAACTTTTTAAGACTTAGGTTTGTTTAAATATCACATTTCGTTCGTTTTAGGCGTCACCGTACAGAATAATTTAAAATTGGGTTAACAGGAAAATGTTCATTCTTAACCTTAAACAATTGGGGATGAGCACAATTGAACTTTGTGCTATTTATTCCAGATACATAAGACCTGTCCTCGCATATGCTGATGTGATATGGCATCCCGGAATCACTAGTGTAAAACTTGAGGCTACTCAGAAGCGTGCTTGCCGTATTATTTTAGGAAGGAACTACCAGACCTCATGGTAGAAGTCTACGCAATGGAAGTAATTATTCACAGCTTAAATGCAAAACCAAACGATTTTCTAATAGTCCCATACCATATATACCATATTACATTCAATTACTCAACATCTCATAATCCCCACTCCCTGGCGTTTGAGGCACTGGCTGCTCCCCTCTATTAGGACAATGCAGTTGCTCCATTTGCACGTTTTTATTCTGTATTTTGAACATTTGATTTCCCCCCACTTTTTTTTGTGGATTTTTTTATGTGATCACTTGTACTTTATAAAAGTTGCTATCAATTTGGCTTTTGGCCACGAACTGTAACTTGTTTTTTAATGTGAATGTGAAATAAATAAAGTGAAATATTTTTCCGTTTCTAAAATATTTGTGCTTGTTAATAATTTAGTTTTATCATTTAATTAAGCCATGGTGGTAACTATGTAGAGCGAAATGCTAGGCCTATGAAAGTCCCCCAGTGGTGGTTGCCAGGTTCTCGGAAATTTTAATTTCAAATTTTGCGAAAATGATGTATAGTATAATACATTCCCACAGGCAAATGCTTGTTTAACATACCTACATATATCTGGAATTTTGTAAACACTCAATAAGCATTGGCAATATACTACAAGTACCATATATGTGACGTGCACAATTCGCTGGCTCAACTTCCCATGTTAAATTCTTTTCTTTTTTTTTGGATGCTTGCCTTCATTGCACCCTACTCCCTATCTTTATAAGTTACAGGAGACGTGTTACGTGGTGTGTATGTTAAATGTTACGCAGACTTTCCAAGATATTCCTACTGAATTCATTGTCATCTTCACACAAATTAATTCAAACCTTCCTAAAAGTTGGTACTGATATGCAACAAGTGAAAGATAAGCTTTGCCTGGGAGCATGAACACAAGATTCAAGATAAATATCTGAAGACTTCTGCAGTACTGAATATTACAAGGGACGCATGCTTGGATGCGCTTTCACGCTCACATGTCGTAAAATGAGGATGCTTAACTTCAGTATGTCTTCCATAATAAACATCACAAGTGTATGCTGTTGAATTTGTTATAAATTAATACCCAAAATTACTTATTACAAAAGCTTATATAGGAAGGTAATAATCTTTTATGCCTGACAAATACTGCATCGACTAATGCAACGCTAGCCTCCAGATCGTCAGTGGCAGTCTGTGAAATTTCTGAAAATAGAATTACATCGAATGCTGTAGGAGAGCTTTCAGTATTTTATGAAATTGCAGAACACCAATTAACAAACCCTGTTTGTCCTGATGAAGGCGTCTGTAGGAAATCCTGGTTGGCTAATGATCCATTTCCAATCTGCCTTGCTAGATTCTGCGCTCCTGTCCGTGGTAAAGAGGGCGTGGAACCAGAATTCCTACGATTAGCTGTAAACAAAAAGTAATATTCATTAAATCATGATAAAGTATAATAGCCCAGCCACAATACACTACACATTCCATGCAATGTAAAGGAACATATTATTTGACAACCACTACATAAGCTATTGTATATCAAATGGACTAAGTCCATAATGAACCAGATGTGAGGTCAATTTTGGCACAGTACTAGTCTTGAAAAGTTGCCATTTTGTGGGATAAACTGATGGTTGTCACTGGTATGTGCTCAACCGTGGGGATTTTTTCATGCCTTGTTCACTGTTCCAATTCCATCCACTACTCTCCATGTATTCCAGCTAATGGGCCCGATGCAAATTGTAATTATAATAAACTATCTTCCAGACAAGACAAAATAACAGTAAATTGTGTCCTGGTGTACTGTCAAATTCACATCACATGATAACCCCACTATGAACAATCATGGGTTATCCTGGTGTGTTAAAACAACTACTAAATCCATCCATTTTATCAAGCAATATTGTCCGCCTTCCTGTCATGTATACCTGTCAACTTTTGTTAGTGTCTGATGCATGAGACAAAAAAATAAATTTATATATATCACCCACTATGTAAAAATCACAAAATATAGTGCCCTCTATGTTTTTATAATTGTAGCGGTGGAACGGCTACTGATTATTATTATTATTGTATACTTATATAGCGCATATCAAACTTCTCTATGCGCTGAACATTATTACCCCGGATCACTGGATCAAGCACATATGGAACACACACTCAGGCCCCATAGGGGAATTCCATAATGTTGCAGCTGTATTCAGCACAGGCTGTGTTTGAACCTACCAGGTACCCACTTTTACTCCTGGGTGGAGAGAGACAACCGTAGATAAAGTGCCTTGCCCAAGGACACAAGCGACTTGCACAGCAAGAGTTTTGAACCCCCGATCTCGAGGTTGGGAGTCCAAACCACAACCGATGCGCCAACCACTTCTACAGACATGGGTCGTTATAGCGTCGTCAAAAGAAATTGATATGACCTGTATTAACATTTTAATGACAAATTCACTTCATTTTTATGAATTTCAGGTCAATGCATTTTACCTTTTATAAAATTATTATGTGTGAGATACAACGTAGGCGTGAGATGTAAAAAGCGGATGCTCATGCGCGAGACTCACATATTTTGCGTGAGAGTTGGCGGGTGTAGTCATGTCCATTTTTGAATACACACCTGTGATGCATTGTGTTTGTAAAAGAGATTGCTGCTTATTACCAGTAAGACAGTGACAATTACTAGTCATATAGTATGATACATACTCCCAAGTATCGAAATGCACGCCATCGTGTCGGGATTCAATATTTCAACATTAATTATGTCATCATTCCTGATGTATATTTATACTATCTTATCTGAGATTAATCAGTGGACCTTTCGGTATTACTAGTTACATAGTTAATAAATAAATCAAATCAATCGAATCAAACCTAGTTGGCATTCTCAAATTTTCTTATATATTGTGTGATTGAAGCACTTACATGAACGACGAGAATTTGATGGATTTGGTGCACCTGGGGCACTCCTCCTGGGTACGGATGCGTAGGATGGCATGCTGGGTTGGTGTTGCATTCGTTGGCCATGATGCCCACCTCCCTGTCTGGCATGCCCACCTCCTTGCCTGCCACCTGCCATTTGTCTCTCATGAGCTGTTAGCTGTGTTTGCCTTGGTCCAGGCCCTAACATGGAGATGAATATCCTTTTAATATTTTCAATTTAGCAGAACACACACATATACTTACACATTTATAGTTTTACCAATGAACTGACATTATTCTATTGCATTTGCTTTGACTTGATTCCTTTGGAGTAAAGAGCAAGCATCAAATCAAACAACATTGTTCCATGTCAGACATCCTGTTATAACTCCTACCCAAAAGATATTGCCTAAACATTTAAACTATTATATAATGGTTATGGTAAATTGTTATCAATTCTTATAGCACAAACTACTACTACTGTATGCACTCAGGAAAACAGGGTGCAAAAGATGTACACTAGTTTTAAAATTCCAAAAGGAAAAAAAAAATAATAATAAACAATAATAAGTTTTTTGTCACCAAGTTAGCACCCAAACTGCAGTATAGGAATATTCCTTGAATAAGGATCTAACCTTCACCAATGCCTGTTGAGTCATCTCGGAATCAGGCACCTCCTATCCTTTAGTTCATCAAATCATTATCTACTTACTAGTATTCCTTGGTAGTCCTGGTCCGATTTCCACTCTCAGAGTCTTTCCGCTTGGTTTCAGTACAGCTTCGTCCCCACGTCCAATCGAAAAATGGATGCTTCTTGATCCGCCTCCGCCCCATCCTTCCTTCTTCACTGCAAAATCAATGCTGTGTAGAAGAACAAAATGATACATTTTATATTCAGGGCAAAAAAAACTATTTTATGCTTTCTACATAGCTGCAAAGAAGGGAAAAAGAGTATTTTTACACCCAGAATAACAAGACTTGCTTCCAGTGGGATCCTTCTTGTGGTGATTTGAGCAGTACAGCAGCAGAAAATTCCCTATTCTTTTTTGAAGAGTGTACTGTGTTCTTTAACACGCACATGGGCCACATTGCACACCGGACAAACAGCTTAAAATCTCACGGCTTAAAAAGACGGAGTGCTATCGTAACTTGTAATTCAGCCCTCCAGTATAGGAGATCAGCAGATAGAATTAAACCAGTGACCTAAGATCTGAAACGATCTTCACGGTTCACCAGTTTAGCTGATAGCATTTTTTTTACACGCACATCAGGAACATCACCATGTTCCAACAAGTACTTTAAAGACATTTATACACATACAAAAACATTAACTAAAATCATATGTACTGTAGCGCAGATGCCTCACTGTGCAATAATATACTTATGAAAGCTTACTTACCTATCACCGAAATTAATACGAATTTCCCTTCCTAACAAATCCTTAGATTTCTTATTGAGTACTGTTAGGAACTCTGTCTTAAAGGTTGACTCCAGTAATGTTGCATAATCATTCACTACATTTAACACAAAAAAGTCATCTTGCATTGAACTGAAAGATAAGTATTGTTTACATCAATATGATTTATCAGATCCAAGATTATATTGTTGTAAATGTAATGTAAAAAGTTGTCTTGGTTGTTAAAAAAAATCCTGATAGTCACTGCCTACAGTAAGCCTGTGTCCAACGTTTGCTCAAATTATAGCAACAAGGTTGTGTCTCATATTTGCAGGATTGTCAACACCAAGCATGTTTGCTTTTTCAGGTTTTGTGAAATTTATAATCACTGACAGTCTAAAGGGATGAAATGCAGCTGTAACTAAGTGTTTACAATGCAGTTCTGTTCATTAGTCTTTATTACTTAGTTTATAAAATTATTACTGGGCGTAGTGGCAGAACTATAGCTTGACAGACAGGCGACTCGGTATAAATATGAAATAAACATAAAAATGTTTGGTTCGGGCCCTTCTGATTCACTGACTACTAAGAGTTAGATATCCCCTGTTGTAATAATAGAATGTTCCAAGATTTCTTACAACCTACCTGAGTGATACCGACTCCAACATGTCAATAGAAATCTTGCGTTTACACACGTCCTTTATCACACCCTTTTCTGGGCCTTTCTTCACCTGCTCTCTTCCAATCAGATAGATGCATTTATTTGTCAGCAACAGATCTCTCTTAGTAACCTATCAAATTAAGAACACACTCATGATTATTAGAAAAGAAGATAAATTAATTAGTGGTAATAGAGTAAATAAATAAACAAACAAAAATTAATAAATGAAGAGCAACAGATTTTTCTTGGTAATCTCATCAGGGAAAAAAAATACAAAATGTGATAATAAGGAATGTAGATGAATTAATTAATGGACATTCATTAAATACATTAAAGAAAAGTAAATCAATAAATGAAAAGTAACAGCTCTTGGTAATTTATCAAATTAAAAATACAATTCATGATTATAAAGAAAAAACATACATTAATTAATTAATGGATGCTGAATAAATATATATTATGAGTAAATAAATTAATGTTTGTATAACTACCTTGAACCTCCTGTCATATTTCTTGACTTTGTCGGCAAATTCTACTCTCTCACGCTTTGGTACAAACACACGTAAGTTTGGTTGATTATCGAGGCCAATATAGTCTCCTGCAAAATTCCTATTCAAGCTGAATCGGCGGCGCTCTTTCTTATTGAACAAAATATCACTTGCTGAAAAATATTAATACTGAATATTTAAATGGTTTCTGATAGAAAGTTCAATTAAATTGTCTCTCTCCATTCAGTGGTGAATCCAGAGAGTAGCAAAAAGTGTGCTTGCTATCAGCAGAAGCTACAAAATCACTAACCTGGTGGTAGCCGCTGTGTGTGCGCTGAACCGTGGAGATCTCTAGGTCCCCGGTTCAATTCCCATCGCTGCCTCTCCTTGTGTTTCAGCTAGAGGGCTAAAATACAAGTTACAATAGCGCGCACCATCTTTCGGATGAGATGTTTAAGCCATTGGTCCAGTGTGCATTATGGCCCATGTGCACGTTAAAGAACGCAGTACACTCTTCGGAAAAGAGTAGTGGATTGTCTCCCGGTGAACTGCCCAATCACCACCAGAAGGACCCCACTTGAAATAAGTCTTCTTCTAGACTTTCATGGGCTATCCTTGGTATTTACACTGAATAAATCCAATCCAATCAAACCATAAGAATTGTGTTATAAGATTTAGATTAAAGTGGCCATAAGCCCAATGCTTCCATGTTCCCAATATAGATAAGAGGCACAGTAACGCCCAAAAAACCTTCAGCTCAGTTTACTCATTTTTCCACACTTGTCCTTGGTGTTTACACCGAATAAACCCAATGCTCCATTTGGGCCTACAATTACCACATGAGTCACCCTGGCAAAAAACTTCTGGATCTGCCACTGCCATTCAGGCTTATAGGATGCCAATGCTCTCTTGAATACTTCTAATCTATAATACTCAGCCTTCGTACAATACAAGAAATAATCATCAGGATGTGAAATATGGTTTCTTATGTTCTGTGTAATATTAGTAATTGGAAGTGCTTTAGGAATATCATTACATATAAGTTAAACATTATATTATTAATTATTATCTTTTAATTTCATCATATCTACTTAGTTACCTTGTTTCTTGAGTCGATCAAAGTGCTTGTTGGCATTAAATTTACGGAATGCTTTCTGGATAAGCCGTGCATACGAATCAAACTTCCTCTCCCTTTGCTCTTCCAACAAAAACAACTGGTAATGAAGAAAAGTAATTATTGTATTATTATTCATTTAAAAAACATATAACTCATGAGACTGACTTTTGAGTTTCTGAGTTCTTGGTTTAAAATCTAAAATGCCACCCAGGCTAAAAAACAACTCCATTCCTTATTTGAATAAAATCCCCACCCCCTTCAAATAAATACCCCTCTATAGCCCAGGGCGCTTATTTTTTCCTCGAATAAACGCCCCCTTAAATTACTGTAAACAAATCTAATGGAAGCAACATCATTTTCAACACATTCTATTAATGTTCACTCAGTACCCACTCCAGTAGAACATTTTTTTCTAACTTGGTTGGGATTAATAAGTATTCATGATCATGCACGCACACATTTTGACGGTAATTATGTTTTGTAGTTCCACATTTACAGTGAAATTAAGGGGCATTTATTTGAGTAAACGTATTCATTTTCACCAAAAAAAAATAAACGACTCCCTTGACTGAATGCCACCCTTGAAGAAACGCCCCCTCAAAAACCCTCCTTAAGAATAAACGCCCCAGGCAATTATTCAAATAAATAAATAAAATAAATAAATGTATCACATGGCCAAAGTTTGCAAAGCTCTTACGTAATTTTTACAGCCAAAAACCTGTTAGCTCCTGTAGTGGGAAAGAGAATATGTATTGTTTGAAGGCTTGCATGGCAAAGTAATAAGAATATGCCTTGCAAAACAAGCAACTATAAACTATTTTCGCTAAATTTGAAATAAAAATTTGCGAAAACCTGGCAACTACAACTGGGAACATCCGGAGGCCTAGGCATTTTGCTCTACGTAGTTACTAGTGTTTATCTGTGCTCTGTGTTGGCTGCTGGATGTCCCCAATAAATATTTGCAAGACGTTGGTGACGCTGTTTGAAATAGACGAGATAAAATGGTGTATATGAAGCTGGACACTTACAGATTCTGGGTTCTTGATGAAAACCTTTGACTTTCCAAGCTGCCACTGATCTGGTTCCATGTTAACTGAATTCATCAGGTGCTTCACTCCACCTTTGACATCACCACGCCATTTAGGCCAAGTCTCTGGAGTCAGAATTGCATATCTATAATAAAAATATATATTTCCAATTTGCTCAGATTTTGGTTTTTGAAGATCAATATAGGATATCAAAATTATGAAAGTGTTAATTAAAGCAAGAAGCTAAAGTGAACAATAGAAGAGTGGCTAATGACCAAATTAACACGTTGGCTGCCAGCGACGAGTATACTCACCCACCGGGTGATGCTAAGGGCAACAGAAATGAGTATACTTGTCAAAATCGGGGGAAACATTCTAGCGTTTATAACTTCTTTGTTATACATTGTAGAACCATAGACTCAACGGCTGGTAGTTCGAGGAAGATATACCTAGACGATAACGTACAAATGACGTATGTATGTTTGTTGTGTTATGTTGCAGGTAGTACACTCAAGCGGCACAAGTGGGAGTGCCCTTTGAACATATACCAACCCATGCAAAAAGCGGACGAGATAACTCGCACTTGGCATAATCAATAAAAAGTTTACTTGCCCCCTAATACTTTCCCACCAATTTATTAGACACATCATTGTGATGATATATGACTAGATAAAATTTCAAAAAATTATGTTTGTACATGTAAACTTGTTTTGGCACACGGGAAGGAACCTTAAAAAAAGGTCTGGCAGTCAACGTGTTAAGCTCATTCATTAAGATTTCAAACATCAGTGTGTAAGATTAAGATAAAATCAAGGGAATGGTTGACTAAATTTGAATGAACACCGTAAAATATGTAGGTGATATGGTGTGCAATTAAATATTAATTACAAACCTTCTTAAGAACTTGTCAAACTCTCTCCTGTAGGCAAAGCCAGCTCTTCGTACCCTGATATTCTCCTTCAGACCTAGGTACTCAACCTGATGAACCACTCTGAAATAAAATCACCCCATATCTTAATGCACCCTTCCTTTTTCTTTCTTTTGTTGTTGTTTAAGCTGGGGTCTATTCAGTAAAGAGTACTACACCCTAATATACAACATAATATACTCTAATATGTACTTTCACTGCCACTATTAGTTATAATTTCTAAATTTAACACACTCATACAAACTTGTATGTCACTTCCAGCATACATTATCAGTGGCTAACCATGTTTTTATTTCATGGGTTGGTTGGTACTTACAACAAACATTACTAGCCATTTCAAAATAGTTTCTTGATAGTCATTACCTAAGGACTGTAGATATATTAAGATAGTCAATTACACAGCAATAAACATGAATGAACCTACCTTTTTTCCTCCCAATCATGTGGTCTCTTTGTTTCATTAGGTTTGATGCAGCGTATATAGTGGGGAGTGCACTGCATCAGTCTCGATACTAGTTTATTAGCTTGAGCCTGGAAAATAACAATTCAAATTAAGGTATTTATAAGAAATTATCAGTAAATACAATATATATCACTGGACAAAGTAGATACACAACAGTATAAAGCTGATGAGATTATTATAGGATGGAGAGAATGATGCCGGGAAAGGAATTTTACAGGTGGAAGCACAAGACTACCTTAGCACCAACATGGTTGGGGCTGAGGTATAGGTTACTTCTTTGGAACCTCTAGATGGTAGAAATTGGCACTCTTAAACTAAAAAACTGGAATGCAATTTCCTTTTACCCCATTTTTTCACAAAATCTGAGGGGGAGGGATGGGCAGGGATGGGCTCTCCTTTGAATCCGCCTAAGGTATTCTAGCAGAAGGTGACTATAAGCTCAACTGTTGGTCTTACTTTAATCTTAGTGCTGGCTGTGGTTGGTCGACTCTTGTTGTTACCAACTTGCTCAGGAAAAAGCTGGACAATAAATGGACTGTAACAGATAAAATATAAGAAGTAGGATACAAGAAATATTTGATGTCATAACAAAACAAATTTAAATACCAAATGAAATACATTATTTTCGCTGATACAGAATTCTGTGGTAGTGGTTTTGTCTTGGGATGCTACCAGGGCATCTGTAGTTCAATTTATATTGTTAAAGGCAGCCTACTAATAAAATGATGCAGCAATATCTAGCTTTTATATATTGTTTTTTTTACTGCAAAAATAGAATGGGCTTGTCTTCAACATTGGCTTACTTTTGGCTGGATTGCATTAGCTCGATCAAATCAGGAAACAACACATCACGATTTCTTTCACAAAAACCATTAACATCATAGGTCACCTATGAAGTGATAATTATAGAAAATAAATAAATGATAATGACATTTATATACAGTAGTACAAAAAAGAGAGTTACAAGGCCTTAAGGTTATGAAGCGCACTTCTTTTTCCCTGATCATTTGGTCCACATGCTTTAAGTGTTGCTGCTGGTAATCAGTGCAGGAGCAGGCAACCCCACCAGATACCCATTTATACTCCTTACATTTAAAATCATTATTAAATACCGTATTTATTCAAATAAAGGACTGGGGCGTTTACTGTTGGGAAGGGTTTTTGAGGGGAGTTTCTTCTAAGGAGGCATTTAATTATTTAAAATGGATACATATACTGAAATAAACATAATTACCGTCAAAATGTTATTGCGTTATCCTATGGATCACGCAATAAAATTCCAATCAGGTTAGACAAAATGTAATTTTAATGGAGTAGAATACTAACAGAATGTGTTGAGAATGATGTTGCTTCCATTAGTCTTGTTCATTTAAGAGGAGTTTATGTAAGGAAAAAATAAATGCCCCAGAGCATTTATTTGAAGGAGGTGTTTATTCCAAATGATGCTCTGGAGGGGGCGTTTATTCGAGGGTGGGGCATTTATTCTAATAAATACAGTAATTTGATTTTTTGTTGTTAAGTACATGCTGTTTCTCACGAGCAGTCAACATGCTTATTATTTCACATATTTTACCAAACAATCCTGAATATACAAGATAAGCGATCGTAAACCTCACTCTAAACACTGATACTGTCATTTTCCACAGAACGAACCCATGACTCCCTGGTTAAAAACCATAGTACCACATACCTTGCCAGCATAATGATGAATTGTAAAGCCTACACTACTGCTTTGATAGTATTCGTTAGAGCCAACGGAGAGGGCCAGCTTGCCAAGTAGCTTTTCATCCGCACCCTCCACGACGGCATGCATTGTTGCACAGATATCATCAAGAATGCACATCACTCCAACTGGTTTCTGTAAAAATAAAAATTAGAGGTTGAACTAAGAATTGCTGTTAGGATTATCCTTCACGCTCCATGCATACCTCATATTTCTACTGCATTTGTTAACAAAATTTTTATTTAAAAAAAAATCGTTAGTGATCTGCGAGGCTATGATAATCTTAAGCTGACTGTGCCAAAACCAAATACCGAATTGAAAAAAAGAAGTCTTAGCTATCTCTGGAATAGTTTACCATATGACATTCGATCTGTACCTACTTTAAGTTCCTTTAAGAGCAAATTATAGCTTATCATGTATTTTAGATGTATTTAAACATTTTAAAAGTTTATATTGTGAATAAATAATGAATTGACTGATTGATTGATTGATTGACTACAGTAAACCTGCCAACCAAAAAAACAATTTATAAATTTTTTAGACAATCATTTTACTACCATACACTTCTGTCTAACCATCTCACCTTTGATTCGATGAGGTCACACACAACTTTGTTGTTAAAGTACTCAATAGCTTTCCATTTAATACCCTCTTGGACATACTCTTCCTGTAAATAAACAAAACATTTGTTAACATCCATATGTAACTTAGGCCCTGCTTCTCATTTTTTTGGAACTGTAACTAAATTCACGTCCTTGAGAACGTTAATAAAGCAAATAGATTTATGGGTCTTGTAAGACGTGTGTTTAACTATGCGGAGTTTTATTACTTTATACCGCTTTTGTTAGACCCCCATCTTGAGTATACTGTCTCAGTCTGGTGCCCGCATTTAGAGAAACACATCGACCTGATCGAGAATGTGAAACGTAGAGCTACTAGACATATTCCTAGGCCGAAGTGCTGAAGCTACTCTGATAGGCTTCACTTCATACATTAAATCTACCTAATCTTAAGTACAGAAGATATAGAGGCGATACGATTAAGAAATTAAAAATTCTAAATAATTATTATGATAGGCAATCACATTGTAGACAATTGGAATGCACTTTCAAATTAAGTTGTAACAGCTCCCTCTCTCTATGCATTTGAGAATAGACTTAAAGTTTGACCATAAAGCAGGCATTGACAATTCCAGGATCAACAAGTTTGGATCTGGACATAGAGGACATTGGTCCTGTGTCCATTACATCACCTAAGTATTAGGTATTTGTGTTGCGAATGTTTACCATACCTGTTCAGCTTTGAGTGTGAGTTCAATGAAAATCTGCTGCAGTTTTTCGTTTACAAAATTAATGCAGAACTGTTCAAATCCATTCTTCTGGAAAATCTCAAATCCATAAATATCCAGGACGCCAATATTAACCCTCTTCTTGTCATTCGCCATCGCACTATTTATAGACTATAAATACAAATGATCAAAATATAATAATAATAATAATAATAATAATAATAATAATTGAGAAACATTATTTTTTTGAGTGCTCTGCACCAGAAAACTGAACCGAGAGCTCATACAATACAGAGTTTGCTAGTTGGCCAATTTTGCAGGCGTGAGACTTCTGTTCTGAACTCCTCCCCCAGGGGGTCTCAGCATGCTAGTTGTACCCTGGGTGGGGAGGACCATATAGATTAAGTGCCTTGCCCAGGGCACAAATTAAATAGGTAGGTAACATAAAAAAACGTTGTTTATGTAAACATTCTAATATCACATATATCAACGCTAAAGTTAGAATTTTTTTTTTTTGTATCATGAAATTCCATAGGAGTAATATTTTGATCTGTGTGATGTGTTATCGTACTAAATACTCAGTACGTTCCCAAATACTTTGAGAAAAAAAATCTTTAAGATAGATATTATGGTATCTTATATATAATGATTGAAATCAAACTCATCTGTAATTAGGAACCACACTTATTTAGTGTGATTGACATAATAATGGCAGAACAATTTATTTATGATATTCATCTTGCAAATGAAAGAAACAGAACACATGACAAACTTTTTTAGCCTGTAATCTTAGAATATTTCTGTAAATTCAAGTGTGATGACTCAATCCACAGATATGTGGGAAAGTGCGTGCTAGATAGAAGGAAGCCGCTATAATCTGCCAAGATATAAATTTAATGATAGCTTGCAACTCACAACTTTCTGCATATATTCCATATATGGTGAGCATTTGCAAATATTACATTGTGATAAATCAGATAATATTTCCATTTTCAGAAGTGAATTTAGATATGAATAATAATTATGAATAAATAAATAAATAATTTCACAGCTTCAAATGGGAAGCACTTTCACAAACAGATGGAAAGTCTAGACCATCAAAGCCACATCATCAGGGGTGGTGCCAGCGGGGGGTGGATTGAGTCACCACATTTTTATCCACCACTGTTCTTTACCAACAAGAGGTAATAGTAAGGTACAATTAAAAAGTAAATCGACAAAGACTGAAAGAACTCATAAATATGCCATGAATTATCATCCCAATTTCAAATATTAACAGTTAATAGTTTAAATACACTAAGCCATATGTCCTTACCTCAACCAAGTAATCAAAAATTCTTGTATGCACTGCCTTGGCAAGGGCGTCACGTGTGTAGGCCGCTTGCTCTACATTTAATGTGACCTTAATGGATTCTTGCTTACCACCCCACTTACTGTCCATCTTACGACTTATCAACTTATTTTCTAGAATACTCTTCTCGATTTGAAAAAGGAATGCTGGGAAATCCAAGACTGTTGAAAATTTAAAAAAAAAAAGAATTTGCATTCTCATATTATAACATCATATTTATATTCATAATTAAGTTAATTAACTCAATTAGTGATGGTTGAGCACCTAGAAACTTTTTACAGGGACCCAGAGAAACCACAGTAGTTGCAGAGCATGCAGCACCATCCCTGTTTATTGAGCTGGGCACCAAGACATCCCTTAAGATTTAAAAAAAAATCTTTGCCTTTTGTTTACATGTTCTATACAAAACCACAAGAAGGGGCACAAAGTAGTCAAGTGCTGTCATTGTCACAATCATCATGGTATCATTGCCGACCACAGCCCAAGCATTAAAACTTCATCACTACAATCACAGAAATTTCAACTTTGTAATATTCATTTCAGTGTGTCTCAAAATGGAAAATTTCTGTAATATCCAATGGTTATTTTTTCCAATTTACAGGTATAAAGGATAACAAAGGTGGAATGTAAAATAAATCTGACAGGATACAGATTGCTTGGCAAATTTTTTCCTTGAGTTTTAGAATACTTTATTAGTAATCTGACAAATTCAGATAGTCTAGGAATAATCTTAGCCAAAAGTGTATAAAAGTCCTAATGCAAACTCACTGTTTTATCAAATGTTACAACAGGTAGAATTATACAATATTTATATTTTCATAGTATTATTTTCCATTATTGTATACATAATTGAGCACAATGACCAGTGAAGTTAATACTAATTTGTTTAACTAAAAGCTAAATCTAAATTACTATTCAATTTTTATGCAGGAAACACCATAACAAAATCCTTATACACTGTGTATTGTGAAGACAATCAGTCTGGATAACTCCCTAAAGACAACAAGAGCAGCAAGACACAGCACTCCTTACTAACCACGCATTTTCCGGTGCTGACTCATAACTTAAGTGGTGCTATCATTGATTCTGGTGTTCCCACATGTGTATGTGTCATACTCTCTACATAATAATAACCTAATAATTATATTGGTCATTGTGTGCATTTGTATATATAAGGTGAATTCACAATTTCAATTTATTTATATAGTAATATATTAACTCCAAATGCTTTGTGAAAAATACAATAGTTTAAAAAGAGGTAATTAAGAATGAGACCTGATTTAGTCACTTTTAAACATATGCTTTAAAATACAACATAAAAAGAAAATTAATAATTTAGAACAGGGGTGTGCATTAAAAATGGGTTGGAGGGCTAAATGATTTTTTTTTATTTAACAGAGGGTGCCACACACAAGCATTGACATTTCCAGAAAAACCTTCATGCACTACTTGTTCCTCTTTTATACTTAGTTTTAATGGAACTTTTAACAATCAAAATGAAAAATTTATACATTTGATATTGAACTATTCTAAATACAAGGTGACAGGACTTTTATCAAGTCACTATTTTAGACAGTAGTTCAAACTAATAATCTTCATAATTCTACATTTGTACGTGAATGATCATTGAAAAGCTGCGTCCAAATATGGGTAGAGGCTAGGGCCATATTGAGGAAGTACAGATATTTCTGCTTCCTGTTCATTGCAGCACATATTGAGAGCCTGTTCTTAAAGGCCTTCAACAATGCAACTCATTCACTAAATATAAACTAAACTGTTGTTTCGATAAAACATGAAAGTAAAACACTTTCGTAGGCCCAGAATGCTTTGTGGTTTGATTTATCCAGGTGAGCGTTTACATAAAAGTAATTCAAATTTTAATGTCAATGTATAACACAAATGTATTTGTGTAATTAATATCATATTATTGTTGTTATCACATTATTATTTATCATTGCTAACTATTTTTACAATGATACAATACTGAATGGCAACTCTGTTTAGTACATTGAGAGCCTTATTAGAATTAGAATTTTAATATTGTTATTGGCCATTATTGAATAAAATATTATTATTATTAATTCAATTGTGATGTCATCACTGTAATCCCAATGCTATTTCCCTATTCCCAACCTAAGCAGTAGGCCTAGCTTTGATCGATTCGTAAGCCTAGATGAAATCATCACATGGTTTTACCTGTCTGCATCGACACCAAAAACGTTATTACTGTATTCTCTCAAATGCTTAAAGAAATATTTACTTTCTTAATGTCTATAGAAATATTAAACTCATGACAAGTTCTATCAAACACAATCAAATATTATTCATCTTACTGCTGTGTAAAAGTACATATCATTTTAACTGCACTACTGTGCTCAGGGGCGGATTTGGGGGGGCGGATTTGGGGGGGGAGGGTGCGCACCCCCTTTTATCACAAAAAAAAAATTTTGGCCCCAAGCTATATTGCATTGTTACAATATCAAAAAAGAAGTACACGACTTACACTCATCGTTTTCGACAGCTGCATAGTTTCCGTTTTCAACAAACATGATGTTGCCTAGATGGAGCACACCAGCCACACAAGACAAAACATTATCTTGATCATCTTCTGGTATACCAATAACATTCATAGCCCCCTGAAAGTAGCAATGCCATCAAGTTAATCATAATATTTCCAAACATTTTTTTGTTAATTCTGACAATTGCAAATGTTCACTTTATTTGGAACACCCTAAAAAATAACAGAATTATCCATTGCCACACATGACAAAACATTTTCTTAACATTCATAGCCCCTGAAAGTATCAATGGTATCAAGTTAATGATAATATTTCCAACCACTCCTTTTAATATGACAATCGCAAATGTTTATTTAGAACACCCCTAAAAATAATAGAATTATCCATTGTCAATTGTTTATTAGTGGTGCTGTCAAAATAATGGTGATATAAAAAATCACTACACTTTTAACCAAAACAAGTATTATAATTAAAATGTTACTGAATGTAACAAAATGACATAAGAATGAATAAATAAATTTTAAAATTGTATCACAACACAATGGATATAAGCAATATTGACATCGAAGGGGCTGATGAGGAAAATGGTGTGATGGGATAGTGTAAGGGATATGCTTAGGTGCATCACAAAATATGAGACTGCAGTCTTTATAACACAAAGACATAAACAAAATACAACATAACACAAAAACAACACAATATCTCACAAGATCCTACAAACATCTCCATTAAGACAATAACAATTACCATGCTCGCGCGAATAAGTGCCCTGTTTGAATAAGCACCCCTCTTAACGTGAAAATTGCCTTAAGCGCCCTGTTTGAATAAGCACTCCTCATAATTTGGATAAGCACCTGTCGGTGTTTATTCATTTTTTAAAACAATATCTTGTGATTTATTTTTTTTAGAGAACTATAATCTAACTAATCCTGAGACTGTGGTTGGTATGATTTGAGCTGCGGAGTAGATTTACATTTTCTTCTTATGTCAAATTTCAAAGTGAGGATATTTTCTCGTGGACAGGGCCGGCCCAGGTCCCGCTTCGAGAGACATGAGACGGCTCAAAGGTCGGACTAAATTTATGTCGGCTCAGGGCCGGCTTAACATTTACTGATTGTTCACACTTAAAAAATGCCAACCCTGGGCTGGCCTTGAGGCGAACCTGGGCCAACGCAACTCTTAAGTGTGACTGGGCTCATATATAGGCCTACATTACCATGAAAAATTACTTTTTTGTTCTCAAATTGTATCATTAAATCTCATTTTGTAACGATAACCCTAACAATAGAGTACAACAGTCGTGTCGTCACAACACCAGGTGGCGCCCTTTGTTGTCAACCAGGCATTGGTTACCGTTCATTACGCCTGAACGACTTCATAATCTTAATGCTTTAGAATAGGCTTTCTGTAATAGGCATTTTAAAACCAATAATTTAACATCAAAATGTACAAAAAACACAAAAGCTCGCATTATATTAGTTATCGAACACACATTTAATCATCAATTAAAATTTACAAAGAAAAACTGAGATACAACATCTTAATAATTACATTAGAAATTAGGATCAATGGTTTGTCAGTGGAGAAAATGGCATCTGGTTGAACGCATTGTGTTGCCGATAGCAACGGAGTAGTATCATGTGGTATCGTGATGTAACACTGTAATACTCTATAGTCAACATTATTTCATTATTACCCATTGCTAAGCGCGGCATTAATTATAAAGCCGTCCGTCGCACAACGAATCCCACTACGCTCCCTGTGTGCGATAAGACAATGCAACGCCGTCTGCTAATGGTCGGTAGCAGTCTGAACGGATCGTCGTTAAAAACAATCCATTGCGTGCGCGTCGTCGCATTGTGTCCATCATAGAATCACGTCGGCCAACAACCGTAGTGCGCATTGAGTGAATAACACATCTATTTCACATTAAGAGAGGCTATATTTTCAATTAGCAGAAACAGCATGCTTAAAGTGGGAAGAAAAAAAGTGACGACTATCAGTATCTGTGGGCATGTAAGGAAGTATGAATATCCCCATGCTATATAATAAATTTTGCATAATATAACACTTGGTTTGGAAAATTTCTTTCATAAAAATACTGTTCTGGCCAAATGTTTGATAAATGTGTATCAACGATTAGTGTGTTGTTTAAAGTCATACTCCGGAGGAAAAAAATGTTTTAATATGTTGTAAAACTGATTTTTCTAAGACAGAAAAAGTTGCTTGACGAAAAACTGGGAAACGGTGAATGAGATACAGATTTTTGAATATTTAAAAACTGGGGGAAAGGTGTAAAAAATGGTGGTTAAGCCTACATATGCAGCAGTACTCAAGGTAAATTAAATTCATAATTCACTTTATTGCAATCGCATAACAGATTGGAAAATCAAAATATTCAAATAGAAATGGAGTAAAAAACACAGAAAAGTAATTTTAAATATCAAATATTCATTACATTAATCAATAAGTACCTCCCGAAAAATGGCTTTCGCACAAGATAAACAATAACTTAATCTCATGGCTAAGGGAAATTTCAGTTTCACTTTCAACACCCAAAATGAAAAACAATTAGGCCTAGGATAACCTCATAACACTATCTCTCAAAACTTGATAATAATTGCTTATCATTTATGTACCAGTTATTTGTAAAATAGATTCGTGGAAATGAACAGATGCTGAACATTAGGAACCAACGATTATTTGTATTGAATATTTAGAGTCTAAAGTCCTTGTGGTATGATTTCAAGCATCCAATTAGCTATTTTAAACTTTTATATGTCTGATGGTATCACAATCAGAAAAGCACTACTTTAATATCCTTGTGGGCATGACAGCTAGAATCTTTACCCTCTACTGTGGATTATTCATAGCAAGTTAAATCTTAGAGGAAATAGCATGGCATAGAGTATGGGGAAGCCCCTCAAAAATACATATAAGTGAGCCAGTAAATACAATAAATAATGAAACATCATAGGAGGAATCTATTATTTGAAGAAAAAAACATAAACCTTCAACAGAACTCAAACACAAGAATGTTCACATACAAAAATATTAACAGCATATGATTAGAAAGCTTTATCAACATGTACATCATAATTCCCCAGTCATAAAGATTGCCATATCCACAGTTGCACATCTCCCTTGGGTCTATTTCAGTATGGATTATTATTAAATGCCTTATTTAGTCCATAATCTGCCTCAGCTTAACACTCTGCAGTACTATTATACAATCAAATGCTCAAAACACATAAAGCACACATAAAAAAATAACATACCAAACTACACTAAAAATCTGTAAAAAACCAAGACATAGAAATCTACAAAAGCATGCGAAATTTAGAAATATTACAATAAACAAGTACTTTTTTTAACAATAACACAATTATTCCCTCAAACAGATATGTTCTGTTGTTATAGTCAATTCATGTTTGTACTACAGAAAGTATCAACAAATGTCATTGAATTTATGCAAATTATTACTGGTGAATGCTTGATTACACTAGCAAAAATGTGTAGTGAAGAGGGTGCATTGGAGCCTATGAAGGCATTGTATCATTTAAATTGGTGACTTTTAAATCAGTTGTAGCATTATCTAAGGATTTATTTATCAATTTATTACACATTACCTACTGGTAATAATTAAATATTGTTGACTTTTAAATCAATAATAACACTGATTGATCCAACTAATAACTCGTTTATGAATCAATTAAACATGACAGATTATAACTTGACAGGGGTTGATTGAGTATACGTATATCACTGTGCTTCGTATGTTGAACGCAAGTGATGGGACAAATGGATCACCATAGGCTCTACTAAAGTTTAACCAAGGCACCATGATGGTGCATCGATAAGGACAGAACGTGATGGATACCTCTGGTCATGGGCTCAAATTATCATTTTCTATAGTTAAGAAGAGTGACACCTTGTGAAATTAGGATCAAGTGAGCCCTACAGACAGCTTTAACCAAGCTCATACAAATATTTTGCTCCCCTACATTTTAATGGATTAATTTAGTATTAAACTAAAAATGTACAATATGAAGACAGATCATTGGTTCATAATAAAAGACAAGTCAGTACTTTATGACAATTTTAAGCTGGGAATAAACTTCTGACCTTGAGGTCGTAAGGCTGACTGTCTTCAAACCACTATGCTATAACTTTGTCATATTTTTTGTTTGACACTTATTAGCAGGGAATTCACTACACCCATTTAGATATTGAATTTAAACTAAGGTAACAAACATCAACAGGTAGGTTTAAGGGAAAGACATTGACAGGCATCATGGTACATGATAGTTACACACAGATAAGAAAACTGTAACAAGTAAAAAAAAAAAAAACTACAGTATTCATTAAAAAATATCAAATATCAAGTACTTTTTAAAAATTAATGTGAACACTCATAAATAAAAACATGAAAACAAACAATAAAATTCAAAATAAAAAAACCCACAAATATCTTACCATAGTCCTTTTATATGCCTGAGAATTTATTAAAGCAAATTGAGAAGTATACAAAAAAAATAGCGTTATCCAACAGATATAGTTTTTCAATCTATACAAATCAATGGTGATGATAGTGTGATTGTGATTTAACACAATCACTTCAAGTTCAAGTCATTGTGTTTGTAATCCCAGTAGTAGGGAGCTTTCGATTTGCTGGACGATGCGACGCTAGAACAGAATCACTCATGCATGACTGTCCTACCCTAGGGCGGGTGCAGGATTTGGTGGTAGGTGGTGCGTGAGAGTACACACTACCTCAGCCCCACCATGGTTGTGGCTGAGTGCAAAAAATTGTGAGAATAATGGAGCTCACAGGCGCGGATCCAGAGCATACCGTGACTATCACACAGATGGGGTCCCAGAGTGGGCGACACTATGAGAAGAGAATGTAATGTTTGCTTGTTCCGTCGCTGGAAGACAAATTTTAGACGTAAAGTCTTGGGGTCCTCCTTCGAAAAGTTTTGTTTTCTAGATGCTTAGTCTATCAATGAATGAATACATTCTAAATTTATAGTTTTTCGCCACTTTAATACGGATAATTAATAATTATGAAGATGATGATGGTGATGATGATGGTGATTATGACTACGATGATGATTATGATGATTATGATGATGATGATGATAATAATGATGATGATAATGATGATGATGATGATGATAAGGAGGAGAGAAGGCACCGTAGCTAGGTGATGATAGACTCCTGTGCAAGATAAATTAACAGGCCCTTTGATATGAAGTGTCAACTGAGGCCCGTAGCCGAGTTTGTCGTCACATTTTCACTGCACACAATCGGAAAACAGTAATTGTTTACAATTTATATGATCAGTACATTCTCGACTATGATGAAAATATATATTAAAAATTTACATTGCATGCATGCATAAGTGGAAAATTTAACCTAAAATGTTGATATATGTTTCATTTTGTTTGTTGAATGGTCTGTAATATGACCACAACATAAGGAAGAACACTTTGTAACATTCAAAGTTAAGACTCATATAAATTTATATTTCCTTAGGCCTAAATCACAAGGAAGTCCACTCATCGAATATTTAGCATAGATGTGTACAAATTTTAGGAAATTACATTTTACTATGTACTGGGAATTTTGTTTTATGTTGTTTGTTGAATAGACATAATAATATTACCACAATATGACCACAAAGGAAGTCCATTCTTTAAATTTTTAATAGCATAGTACAAAAAAATCTGTTTATCAATTATCATTATAAACATATTAGATCCAATTTCCAAAAAATTGTGTTTTCAGTGCATGCACTGACGTGGACAGTTTAACCTAATAATCTTAGTTATTAATAATATGGTTCTAAAATTCATATTATGGCCCAAATTTTAAGTTATAACTTATTCTTAAAGGAACAATAATAATGCAATTCTTTCAAAAATTGTACTCCGACCATAACCAAACTTTAAATCATGGATCCACGCCTGCCTGTAGGCAGTGGCGTATCTAGGGAAGGGCATGAGGGGGCGCACGCCCCTCAAAATTACTCGCGCCCTCCCAGTCACCCCCCAAAAATCACAGTCAAGTAGTTAAAAATCGCCTAAAATCCCCATATTTTGTGAATTAAATTGCGTCCTAGAATCCATGCGCGACAAGGATAACTTAACGTTCTTGCAAGCGCAGATGACTATAAGTGAGTCATTATGTTCTACGTCCTACTGTCGTCGTGCCATTGAAAACTCCCTAGTAAAAAGAGCAGCACTCTACCATGTTTCATAAAAAATTTTTTGCCACCTACAATAGTACAAAATCTAATTTCCTTCAATAAATTCCCATTAAAAAGTCTTAAAAGCTGTTTCTTACCATTGTATCTCGGAACTCTTTGGCATCGTCCATGTCATCTACGGTGTAAGCGCCACTTTGGTTTAAGTAATAGTAGTACTCTGGATTAGTTAGTCCTAATTGTTCTAATTAGATAAAAAAAAAAACAATTGGGAAAAATCTCAACAAAACCTAGCAATTGTTTAAAATATTAAAACCAACTGACTAACTTTAGATTCATACCGTAGTATACCTCAATAATATACTAGCATGAATAATTATACCGTTGTGAGATTATACCTCTGTTTCATCACACACGAATGGTCATTTATGTGTGTGATCATGGTACACATTCAAACGTAGGTTTAAATTTGCAATTTTTTCAAATATACATGATGAGATGAATTGATTACACATAACAACGGCTCTAAGAATTTCTGTTTGAGGAAAACTACATAGTAAATTGTCTTACCTGTAGGTACGATCACTCCTTTGAACTTATTGCATAACTTGGATAATTTTACCAAAGAGAATAATAGGCATGCTGTTCTCCCACTACATTTTTTGGGGTGGGCATGGTTATATTGGTAAAAACGAGTGAATTGCAAACAGGGATTAATAGAACAGTTACTGGAATTATCCTTAATGAATACTCACCCTTTTGGTCTCCTGGAACACCATTTATGAGCTGATAAAATATATGAAAACTTCTCTCTCCTGGGTTTTGACTGACAACTCGTGATTTTTCCAAAAGGAAATTTGAAATTTTCCCGCCATCGGGTTCGCCACCTGGGCTGAACTGAATTTCTACATATTTCCCCTGAAAAATTAGTTCACTCCATTACAATTCAAAATATTTAAAATAAATATTATCATTATTATTTGCATCATTGAAGGTAAGTAACAAACCAGAACATCATACCAGTATCTTTATACGAATTCAATTTGGATATCATTAACATAATAAAATAATTTCAAAATATGAACTCAAAAAGCAAACACTACAAAATTGACAATTTGACAGTGACAAAGATACTGTTAATTGATGTGATGATTAACTAAAAGAAAATATCCAATTCTAAGTCTAAATGATACTTACAAATCTACTTGAATTGTTGTTGCGGACAGTCTTAGCATTCCCAAAAGCCTCTAGTAAAGGATTAGATTGGATAATGATATCTTTGACGTGTTGAACTTTTGCCCCGCCCCCTGAAACCTTTGCAATGTAGCTCATAATGTACTTGGCCGCAACAGTCTTTCCTGCACCACTCTCTCCACTGAAAAAAAAAAAGAATTATAGCATAATCAAAAGCTAATGACAAATATAAAAGAACATTCAGAACATATTAATAATGAACTTTTAATAGTCAATACTCCTTGCCAACGAAAGGGAAGACTCGCATAGAATATAGTTATATAATCACTGAGAGCATTTACGATGGTGATGATGATGATGATGTTTGAATTTTAAAAAGGAGTCTAGGCAGAGAACTAGTGAGATTCCGAAACGTAAATATGATAATTTATGAGGATTAAATTATGCAAATTAAGTTCAATAGCCCCAGTATTAAACAAATTCTACATACATTTCATTTCTAAATGTCAGGGTTAAATACTACAGTATATGCAACATGTTTACTAGAGCAAACTCTAAGTAGGATATATTGTCTAATATTTCTCGGTTAATATTTTTCCTTTCCAACTTCCTTTATTGTTATATTTCCTTCTGCTGCTTGCTTGTTTCAATGACTACCATTGTTAGTCTAATTATTTATCCTATTGAAAATCAAATTTCAAAAAAAGTTAAAATTTACTAACATACTTGAAAATACATTCATTCAAATTGGTGTTAATATTATATAATATTTACCAACCTGATGCGATTTATAGCCGGGACAGTTTTTAGGTTGTCGTGTGTATATCAAAACAATTTTTATATTCTATGACGCAACTGTCCCTGATGCAGATCTACGCGGCAGTGTTTAAGTCATACAGACGTGATGCGACAAGAAACTGTGTTAGGCTTCGTCACACAACGCTGTCTGAGTTGCCCTTACCTGGCTAGAACCAGTACACAACTAAAACCTTTTTACACAATTATATTAAGTTTCATATAAGCACCAGTGGCGGCGCCAGCGGGGGGCTTAATCCCCCACCGGACCGGTAAAGCCCCCCACCCCCCGGACAGAGCTCGTCGGGCAGTTAGACCATAAAACATATAAAAATAGGCTCACACCAAGCCAACACATGTCTGTCACAGACTGAGAGTGCCATTTTCGGCCATCCAGAGGTTAATATTCTTCAAAAAAATCTCATTTGGGAGGGGAAACCCCCTCTCAACCTCTTCCTCCAGCTCGAGCCTACGAGCTCAAGTCCCCCCTGTCGGACAACTTAGCTCCCCCAGAAAATATATCCTAGAGCCGCCACTGATAAGCACATTTGTCAAATCTGATAGATCTAGGTTTACTTAGGGCAAAAAATGTCTATATATTTCTTACACAATCATTGAAAATGCTACTTAAATTGTACCATACTTTGCATGAATTAGATTGTGGTTTGGAGTTATCATATGGCTACATATTAAATCATTCCCCTATATGTAACTTGATAAGTTCATCTTGGTATCGTTCAGATTAAATGACATGAAAACTTCACATGAATCCCATCAAGAATGTTGATGCAATTTAAAGCTACATTGGATTTAAATTTTCAGGTTTCATGAAGAAATAAGAAATACTTCCCACCGTTCAGTAGTAGTAGTTAGTATACAAAAAAATAAGCTTTAATATTGTAGTATTATGTATTTAAGTACTCTGTGTATCTACATTTTGTTTGTGTTATATTTTGATGTTATTGTAACAGACTAGTCATTATACATTAAGACATTCTACATTGTCAACCTATATTTTGAAATCCTTTAGCAGAATACAAAAATAACATGAATTAACCTGTTGCACTATACACTGAGGATATGGGGTTGTGGCATTTAAAGCACTATCATTGAATATAATAACAGTATAATAAGTGATGTTGAGAAGCTGGGAAACAGGTCATGTCTCATAAACATACAAGGATGCATACAAGTTTACATGTTTCTGTCATTTTGAGGGATTTTAGCAACAATATCCACAGGGTGAGGCTTAGTGATAAGGTCAATTGACATGTCGACAAGGACGCGAAGCCCCGCCCTCAAAGTCACGAAAATCTTAGACAATGGCGGCTAGATTTACCGAGTTGGCAAAGATTTTCTTTGCTATCAACCTTCTTTAAGAAAGATAATTCAGGGTAGGCGGTATGCAAATGAATCATATATTCATAGTGTTAATCTATTTCATGGAAAATGGCAGGGAAATTGTTGTAAAAGCCTCTGTATTTCGCTCCCAAAGGAAGAGGGAAAAGCTGCATTCAGTCAACTTTGTTGTCGGCAAAGGCCAAGTCACTGATGCGCACTGCTCGTGTAAATCTGGGTATCTATAACCAAGCATAGACATCTAGGCCTAGGCTCACGTATGTTTCGCGTACCAGCCATCTAAGGAAATTAATTTTTGATCACGTGACTAAATGACGCTCGCTGATTAGTTGGTTTATCTGTCAATCAAATCTCGTTGAGATGTTAATTCTACTGTACTTTCATTAGCCTATATAACTACTATAGTACATTCTAATATTTCTATTATCCTATTAATAAAATAAAGGAAATATGCATCATGTTAAATTTAGAGTAAACTAAAAGTGGATAAACCTTAAGTATTGATTGGTTAATTTGAATTATGTGAGCATGTAGATATCATCAAATGCAGTGTAAGTGGTCAATTAAACTATTTCTATTTCAAAAGGTTATCTTAATAAAGTGCATTTGATTTATAAAGATTTATTTATAGTCCATGTATTACGAGTAAATTAAAGGCAAACAACATGTATTAAGTAAGTATGCTGGATACTTACAGAAAACAAATATAATTTAAGTATAATTAAACCTGAAATACAGTAATCAGCATAACATGTGTTTGCCTTGACATGTCATTTGTGTTATTAGATGTTACAGAATTCTAAATTAAAATAAGAAAAGTATTGAATTAGATTAAATTGATGATTACTTTATTTTTTTTTTTTAATAATAATGATTTATATTTTTAACTCCCTGAAAATAGAACAACATGACATTACTCAAATTCATTCAATATACAACTATAAAATAAAATCATGAAAAAGATATATTATGTTGTTGCCTTTTGCTTCACTTTCTTTGGTTTTGTTTACTGTCATTTATTATTGATTATGACATGAGGAGACTTATTGGAGTCACAAAATTAAATCCTATGCATACTATGTATACACATATCTTTATCTTTCAGATTCTATATAATAAATCTTAGTCTAAAGATCATACCTAAATTTAAAGATAAATTACTCCAACTCTACCAAGATAACAAAAACAAATGAGCTATAAAATATAAATGGTCTGATACATTTAATCTTCACTATAATGAACGATTCACATAAAACTAGGCAGTCAAACACAAATCATTGGTTCTCTATACATGTTTGCACAAGCGAAAGTAAATGGCTTTACAGAGTTTGTAAACTGCTGAAAATTTCTTCCAATTGGTATACAGTATATAATAGATCCTTGAGGTCTATCATGGGTCATCCTGGCTTCAACTGTTTCAAGCTTTTGTTTTGTTTTGTTTATTTTTTTTTTGTGAAAACAAAACAAAGCTCTACTTCACCAGATTAAGTCTGATCAAACCCTTGTCTGACAGACATAACTATTGAAATTATAGCCCACTTGACAATAGAATGTTTAAGTGCTGTCGGTGAGTGGAGTGTTGTTATGTGTAATGACCATTTTTGTTATGTTCACTTAACAGTTAGGAAGGGTGTGATGTCGTGTACAGTGATATTAAAGGAAATATGGTTGGTATAAGTTTTGTTGTGTACGTAACGTTTTGAAATATTTTGTACTGTAATTATGAAGATATTTATGTAGACGTTTATGATATAAGTAGATAGTTTGGTGAGTGAATGGAATTTGTTGCATAGAAGCATTTCATTGTGAAGAAATATATTTTTCCAAAGGCGCATTACAATTACGTATATCATTTGTCTTTGTTTGTTAGTTAAACATGCAGCTTTGTTTGAGAAAGGCTAAATAACTTCTTGGCTGATGTCAGATCTTGATGTATGTATATGTTTATATCATTATTACCATCATCATCATAATAATCAACATCAAACATCTTTATCAGTCAACATCATCATCATCACTAGTACCAAAATCACACCATCACCACTATAGTACTTACAGCTCCCTGGTAGATTTCAATTTCTTTATCTGTGAAATATGGCATCTGCTTGAATGGATTCACTGATATAAGTACCGGACCAATGTATGTCTAGTTAAATGGTTAAGGAACGCAAACGTTGAAAAATTCTTTTACTACTGTAATATTAACAATAATACCCAATTATTGTTTTGAGGGTACTAATGAAAATATTGACCTAAAGGCAAGCCATTATTTCCTCAAAAAAATTCTCAAATGCCACAACGCCCAAAAAAATGCTCACTAATTACTTTAAAAGCATACTTGAAGAACTTTCTTTACTCTGCTAGTCCATTCTTATTAAAATTGAATATAGGCCTACAGTATATGTTAATAAGGAAATATAAGGATACGTAAATCCAGTCATCCATGAACCTCTTTCGAAGGTTTTCCACAATGGCCGACTCCTGAATCTTGGTCAGGAGAACCATGTCTTCCACTCCAGTCTGCTTCTTATGACTCTGCCAGTGGTACGCCTAAAATACAAACAGATGTATACCGTGACATTAAGTTTTAAAGTTTCTCCCTGATTGATTAGCTCAAGTGTTTTGCAATAAGAAATTACTGGTTGGAAAGTTAAAATACACAAAACCTGTAAGACCCCATTGGCCTCTGCTAAAAATTGTCAGACCCCATGGTTGAATAACTTGGCAGTGATATAAATATTATACTGTTGATGGTCACAACATTATATGCGATGAACACAAACAGCAGTGCGGTTGCGTACGTAGCCCCTGATACCTTGAGACACCACCACTGAGTCTTGGAATTGCATTGGGCCAACTCTGTGCATAAAGTGTCATCTTTTACATAATACCAACACCAGAAACATGATTTTATTGTTGACCTAAAGGCCTTTCCTCAAATTCTGTATTTTCTTTATAATATAACATTTTTGAATTGGGATTGGGGGAGGGACAAACATGCATGTCTGCCATTCTGGAATCAGTTTCAGTAAAACTGTAGTACTCATGCAAAAAGTTTGTGAAATTAATGTTGTGTATTGCTTTGAACCTAGTGCTCAACAGAAGCTTTAATAGATAGCAATTCCCAAGAGCCTAGCAATTAGAAAGAGGAAATACCAATGAACACATGGTGTTGGAAGTGTTCCGATTTTAGCAGAACACTCAGGTCTTAACAGTAGATTTTATATTTACTTAACAGAAATTATATATATTTACATTACTGTATTAACATTGTAATTGTTATTACCATCAATCAATTTGCTGTAACTTCATCTCCACAGAGAATACTAGTCTTGAGCACCTTTCAGATAGACGTTGCCGCAATATTGCAGTAAGCATGCTGGCATAATAATCGGTCTATACCCTTTCACACAGCACGTTGTTACTGCAATATTGTGGAAATCTTACGCTTTTCTGTCTGAAAGGTTCCTATAGAATGGCATAATATTGGCGGTTTCAATACCACCGCTCAATTGTTTTCAACTTTAACTTTGGTTGTTTATGCATAAATGCACACGTTGGTCTATAGTTTTAGTTATATGCACATAATAGTAATACGACGTCAAAGTCTCTATGAACTCATTCCTACAAGTTTTTACTTCCGAACCTGGGCAGTCCCAGTGGGTCGTCTGGAGACAAACCACTGCCCAGAAATGAAATTAATATTTAATTACTCATTGTAATTGTAGTTTAAAATTAAGGTTGCCAATTGTGTATTTTTAGTTTTGTGCTTCCAAATTATTAGGTCACTTCACAACCTTTTATTTATTTATTTATTTATTCAAGACTCAACAGTGTATCAAAACACCAATAACAGAGTCGCCATAAAAATATACAACATCATTCATAAAAATATATAAGATTTTTTAAAAACATAAAAAGCATTTTTAAAAAATCGTAATAATATATTAAAAACCGGTCAAAACAACCAATAACAGAGTCGCCATAAAAATATACAATATCATTCATAAAAATATATAAGATTTTAAAAAAAACATAAATAGCATTAAAAAAAAAAATTGTAATAATATATTAAAAACCGGTATTTAGTATAAGATTAAAAATAGAAATATTACAATTTTGTAAAAATACCCACTGGGTGAAAAGGTTTCATGGTTGGAATAAAATAAAGAATATTATTATTGTAAAAATATTTCAACAGGTGCTAAACGTCATCGGACAGGTGATGATATGATCGCCAGACTGTAAGTTTTCTTCCTAGTCGGTTGAAAAGGAGAGCTCAGGTTTGAGTATGCACAGATTTTATCACTTGATTCAACAAGAAAGGAACCTTTAACCACTGTTCTTTTACAGATATTGTAGTGTATTTTAGACAGGAGATAGGCCTACATAATACTTTTTATCTGGCTTCAATGCATACTTATATTTTATTCAACAATGCCAAAACAATTGACCGTAAACTTGTATTACTGTTTTGGCTTTTGTTCAATAAACATATTTAACAGTAAATGTTACAATTTAACATTTTTGCCAATGTCAATTGTTCTTTTACACCAACATACAAGAAGCTAAAGTTTATCTTGACATAGATAGATTATTGATTGTGTTGAAATTAAACATTTTTGCCAATGTCACTCAATTTATTCTTTTAAACCAACAAACAAGAAGCTAAGGTTTTTCTTGCTATGTACAGATCAGGACTAAATATCTTGAAGATTATAATGATAGTGATACTTTTGAGTTATTGTAAGTAGCATTATTACCACAAAAAAAAAATTTCCTTGTACAACTACTGTTTAATTTGAGATGAATACTGCTAATCTGTAAGTCAGTATAATAATAGGCCGACTATTTATATTGTTCGCTCAAGTAAGGATGTAACAATGAATGCATTCTTTTGAAATATGTAAAAGTTTACAAACCAAACTGTCAAAAATAGCAATACATTTTTAGTAATTTAGTTATTAAATCAATTTTTATTTGTCCCCAAACTTAGGATATGATAGCTATGGGTGACTCTAAAATAATCTTTTTGGAAAAGTAGATTTAAACGTCTGAAATGCAAAAGAACATAGAATGCAGACTTTTCTGTGTAGTACGAACCCTTTATATATTTGCATCTGAATAAGAATGTCTATATTATGTTAGCATTTGAATCTACTAGGCACCAGTTGTTTAATGATGCAAAATACGTCTTTTTTAATACCACTGATATGTTCCTTTACAATAACGGGCCAATGAAGTTAGAATTTATACAGATTCACATGACCAGGAAATTAAAATATATTACCTACAGTCAAAGCCTAAAGATTGTGCCCTGTAAATTACATACAATACCTACAGTATAGGACCCTGACTACAATGTGTAAGTTATAAGACAACAAGAACTACAATATCTGAAATTATTAAATTACATACATATACAATAGTATATTATTTAAAAATTAAGAAAATGATAGTAATAGATTTAAATGGAACTTTATATACTCTTGTGGTATTATCATATTTCTATATTAATATTACTATTATAATTCAGTAACCTTATTTTTCTTTCATTTTTTCAACATTTAGAATTATCTTCAAAATGTTGCCCTATGAATCAAAGTTGTTGTTCTACACTAATCTAATTAATTAAATTAATTATTTGTCAGTTCAAATATAACCACTAGGCAGGAAAAAACATGTTTCTAGTATCTGAACTTTGTTTTAATTAAAAAGAAAAGGTTTTCATAACTAAAGAAAAACTTCCTGTGTATATAAAATACCCTAGAGAATAAATAGCTTAGTGTATTTTTTTGAATACAAATTAACCTTAAGTAGGTTAAATATTAAAATGATGCGATTTAAGATGTTCTAATTTTTAGCCTTTATTTTACTTTTAATTCTATTTCTTAAAATTTTAACATTTCAAAAATGTTGAATTCATTATTTTTACTCATACATTTCCATAAATTTTTGCAGCAAAAAACTTTTATTAAAAGTATGATTTGATTTTATTTATTATTATTAAAATGATGTGATTAAGATTTTTTAATTTATAAACTCAATTGTTTTACTTTGGATTTTATGAAATTCAACATTTAAAAATGTTTGAATACATTATTCTTACTCATACAGTACATTTCAATAAATGTTTGTATAAAAGTGAAATACTTTATATAAAAAAGTGATTTTCATTTTCTAATTTGAAGACTTTCACAATATTTAAGACTTAATAGCTGATGTAAAATAATATTCTTTATACTTTTGGAATAAAGTGATATACTGTAGACAAAATAATACATAATAAAACCAATTAACATTGATCTAGTCCACATTTAAATAATAATTTGATAAATATTATTGTACAGTAGGCCTACATAAGATTTCTAAAATATCTCAATAAAACCACAAAGTTGGTTTTAAAAACCACAAACAACTGTTGTCTTTTTAACAGACCTTTTACAACACACAGTTGGAAATATTACACAAAATTCTTTCACTAATCAATTTAATATTTGATACCAAATTAAGAACTTAGGCCTACTGTTAAGATTTCATCAAATTAAGCATGTATTAGTTGTGTGATTCATTTTGGGCTGTAAATATCATTTTCCATACTGTATGTACAGTACTGCGTCAAGCTAGAGCTAAAATAATATAAGAATTTATAGAATCTAAACAACCCAGGTATAATTGCCTACTGTAGTAAATAAAATCTTGGGCCTTCACTTGACCTTTGGTTTAGCACTGTAAATAACAATTTAGGAACTGCAATATTGCACACCTATCAACTTAATGATGCAAATACCCAGTTCCCGTTGCTTAAAATCCAGTTTAGGAGTTTCTGCATAATTTTGTACCTCAAAACAGAGCTTACTGTATGTGTATTGTATGTATGTCTATTCTATATTCAAAGTTTGTATGCCTGATCAGACAGTTCAAAGTAGATTTTGTGTCATTTTTCTGCATACTACTTAATGGTAGCAGGTGGAGACACTCCAAACATTTAAAATTGCATTCAAATAAAATTTAAGATAAATAAATGTGCCATTGGACCTTTTTTATGACAGTTCTTCTTGCAGTTGCTATTCCCTACCGCCAACCTCCCAAGTGTTGGCCAAATTTAACATGCGCTGCCACAACTGTTGTTTTCTTCATGCAGTGTGGAATACAGAGCATTTACTGTTTGTAATTAAAAAACAAGCAAAACAAGAAACCATTCTGATGATAGCTTGATTAAGATCTGGGTTAGATTGCCTAGGAAAGGCATGTGAATCCATTTTACGTAGATGCTTAAACAAAGTAAAGAAACACTTAGTTAAAGAAGTCAAATTCACAACTTTATGGCAGTACAAAAATGTCTCTCATTTTATATCTACTAAAGATCAAAGCCCTAAGAAATATAGGAGCTTTGTTGTTTATTATTTTAAATGTCCAAGTTGTAATAGTGATTATATTGGTAAGACAGATAGATGCTTAAACTAGACTTAAAGAACATGCTTCACAATCTGATAGTGTTATAAATGAGCATACAAAATTGTGAGGCATTCCAATATGTTTAGGTTTACAAGGTATACTTGAAAATGATAATGTAGCCTGTAATGTAAGTAATAAATTAGGTTTAATATTTTCCAATACCAACATTATTGACAGTTCGCAAAATTGGTCTATACTATTGTTTAAAGAAGCTTTAACAATGCTTAACAATGGGCTGAAAGCTTCAAAGGAGCTTTCTTTTTTTTTTGTAGGTAGCTTTGATCAGTAGGATAAGAATGCTTTGATCTTTAGTTTATTCATAGCTATGTCACCTACTAGAGGTAATGTTTTGATTGGTTAAAAACTTTTGGTACTTGCATATAAGCATACAAATATGGATAATTTTTCATTTCTGATGATGACATAATTAATGTCAAAACCATTCAAAAAAAATAATCTAAGATATGCACATCTGTGAATTATATCATTTCAAATAACTTTTGATCAACTGCAAGGAATAATGGATATACTAATTATTAGTAACAAGGTTACAGTATTTATCCAATAGGCCGATTATTTGAGGCGCTTGATAGGTATATATGTACAGCACCAAACTCACAACCAACCAATTGTATTGTTAATGAAGTTTTGACAGTAAACTCATTGATGGCAATATCAGAGCCATTTTGTACTATGCCTATTCATATGGCTGAACCAATGATAAGGTATGAGTTCTACATGGCTAGCCTTGTGTGCAGTGGTCATGTGAAAAATTCCTTTCAATTGTTTTTGGACTAACATCTTGCAAATGACATCATCAAGTCAACGCCTGCCAAATATCTTTAAAGATGGCTTTTTGCAGGCCCATATTCAGGGGTGTATGGGTACACACCTCCCCCTTCCCCCAAATACGGAACAATACTGAATATAAAATTTGCTATTTTCTGTAAAGAATAAGAGGAAGAACATCTTAAATCTTTACATTTTAATCAGCAATCTATAGATTAAGATAGTATTTGGGCAATTATTAAAGTTGCCATAGTAATGAAAAAATCAAAGCTGCTGCAATCAATCATACCCAGCAAAACATTCTAGTATACCCCTGTTGATCCATTTTTGCACCTCCCAATGGCAAATCCTTGATACAGCTCTGCTATTTGTTCCAGTACTATTTTCCTTTCCTCTATTCATTCTTTTGAGATTAAACCTTGAGTACTGACAGTACTATAGCTCTTATCTACACTTAGCATTTTTTTTCAGCAAATTCCTCTTTTCGTATTAAAAGCACTTAAACAATCAAAGAGCTCCACTCCAAGCCAAAGAAAAAACCTAATTATCGTTATTCATCATGCACTAACATTTCAAAACATTCCACATTTTTAACCTCAAGCTTATGCAAATCAAGCAGTTTTCTAGCCAAATGCAAATTACATGCTCCGTTTGACAATTGAGGCAGTCCTACCGCATTTCGTGTGAAGTAGAAAATGTTTGAAACTACACGTTGCTGTTGCTGTTTCTGCTCTGTCGGTTTTGGTCGCTCCACTGCGATAGTTCGCTGTGCTGGAATCGGTGGTTTTCGCTCTATGCGAGGTAGGATCGGACCTGGTTGGGTCTTGATCACAAAGATATGTAAACATTTAACATTGATGAAAATATAAATTAACAGAAATAATTAGAAATAAATTTCTTTTCTATTTCTATTCTGAAAAAGTTTTTTTTCTAAATATGACAATGGTGATTCAACGAGCAAAACTGATCATTTGGAACTCTTGACACTCTATAGTGCCTTTATTTCTAGAAAAATTGAGATCTGGACATTGATTGACGTACTTGGAGAAAACAAAATAATTTTTGAGCCTCCAACCATGAAAATTGTCTTACAAAATCTTAAAATTTGTTCTTTTTTTTTAAATGACTCTGGGGAAATGCATGATGCCTCCGACCACTGGTTATGGGTTGCACTTTTTCCAGTCCTGCTGGGAGGAATTGGAAGTTGAGCTAGCTGCAGCCCCACTTCATTTGAATATTTACAAAGACAGAACACAATTATCACTATGTGCACACCATGACAATAGAAACAGCTTTATGACAGTGTGTTTTTAAAGAAACTACAGTATTCCACTTCCTTATTACAAAAAATATCTTCCATCAGGGAAATCTATGGTGGAAAATGCCTCAAAAAATTCTTTAATAGCTATTGTTTATGTGCATTCGACTAGGGGAGTGGGAAGTGTGGACGCATCCATCCACCCCCATGGCAGCAAAATATTTACACTCTAAAAATTCTAAAAATGACCATTAAGTTTTCATTGGAATAGGAATTTACTGGTTCCGCATTCTATGATTTAGTTCTGCACTCTCATTTGCACCACCCCTTCCTGGACAAAAAACAGCCTATAGTACAACCCTGATGTAGGAGTGTAATTTGAGCCACTGCATTCCTGTCATTAATGTTTTTTTTTTCTTTCTTTAACAATTACGATTATCCTAAAATTAGAAAGGCTTGTACTTTACTGGAAGATGGATAGATACAGATCATAATGAAACAGAAAGTCTTGGTGGAGGAAATAGGCATCGCAAGACCTGCCAAAGGGGTAATCAGCAGGTAGTGATGGAATATTGTGGTTTGTATTAATTTGTAAACAAAACAAGACTATGCACCAAATAACATTGAATAACCCTACAGATTTAAGTCTCTCAAAATTTGATTTGCTCCTGGATGATGGATGTATTCGATGTAAAATGAAACGCCTTTGGGTGTTGAGGGAGCCGTTTATTCCAAATGAGGTCCTAGAAGAGACGTTTATTTGAGGGGGAATCTATTTGAATAAGTACAGTAAGTTATTAGCTTTTAATTTAAAATTTAAATTTAAAAAGTTTGTCCTCGCCGGTTAACAAACACATGAAAAATTATGCAAATTTCAAATTCTTACATATACCCTTTTCTTCTGTTTATATGCAAGTTTATGTACTTTATATATTTTTGGTTAAATTAATTGTTTTGTTTATGTGATCCACTAGTAAAACATGTGCTGTGTCACTGAAAGAGTTTTCACTTTAAAGACAGAATCAATTTCACCGATACTGCACATTAAAATGATCTTTTCAATGAGCAATTCAATGTTTTAATTGAAATTTACATAATTGATAAACAGTTCTTCTCAGATCCATTCTGACAAACTCATGACTTTGGTGAACTCTGACTGCCAAATAATTCTAATTTCCTTTTATCTATAATATTTTTTTTTCATATTTTGGTAAAGTTCACAGAATGTTAACTGCAACAGACCCATATCAATTCTTTTAGGTCCATGCATGCTCCAAAGGTAGTGCTGCACTGTGGAAAAAATGATTTTTCCAATTTTTTAATAAAAGAGTTGATCATACTGTAATCTGTGTTCACAGGGTAAATTTTTAGCACTATACAGTAATTAAGATGAAGGAACAAGGGGAAAATATGAATGGGAGCAACAAACCCCATAAGCAAAATTTAGTCTAGGGAAGGCTCCTCGCATAACTCGCACCTTTGTCACTTAGACCCAGAACTCTCCTTTGAATTGATGGGGTATTCCTCATTGAGGCTCTGATATGATTCAGGATCATTTACACTTTTATTTGACATTTGTGAGCGAACTGTCCTGTATTACCAATGCCTTCGATTTAGCTGGCTTCATAAGATGTACAGTAATAAATAGTACCAATGTACTTCATAGGAAAAAATAGTAGACCTGAGGATGCTAAGCTAAAACAGAAGGGGCAGAGAAAAGAGAAAAGAATGGTACAGCAGGCCCCACTGTAACATATTCAAGGTTCCCACAGGAGATCTATAAAAACATTGAAATTTTACTTTAGTTATTAAAAAAAGGTTATTAGCTTTTGAGGAAATTCAGATGAAAGTTTTCCCAGGAACCTCAAAATAATGCAAGTCATAATAGTATCTGACCAGATCTAATATAGCGTAGGGGTATATAGACTGGTTTCAGCCTGAGAGTCCAGGATGCGAAAAATGAAAATGCGAAATGAGAACTACTATATCCTGAATGCAGAACTATCCCTATTCCAATCCTTTTTAGTATTTCAATAATACTAGTAATAATAATAATAGTAATATACTAATAATGGTACAGTACTAGTGAAGCTACTGTAATTTGCTTCCATGAGGGTGCATCCCAGCTCACACCCATGAATTAGTGCCTTACTGTATGTTACAGACTTACATACTACTATATTAGTATTAATAATAATTATTTAAAAGGAACTGTGGTTGAGCACTTTTTCCAGCTCTGGATGTCTTGAAAAAAAGAAAGTCATTCACACCATACCATACATAACAGGAAGTCTTGATATTATTTCTTAAAACGGCGAATCAACATTAAATTGAGGAAATTCTGAATGGCAAGATGCCTGCAACTATAACTGATCAACCATAATGTTCTTCAACAAGTTACAAACAGCTAACCACTCTTAAATATTTCTATACGGGGATGTGCTGCATTTATACGGGATATATTTTTAATGACTTGGTAGCACAAGTGTGGGAAATATGAGGGAGTTGCAGCACTTATGGGGTATTTTGCGAGGAATTGGTAGTACAGTAGTGTGGAAATAATCGGGGTGAAATTGGTCGAATTCCCCCAAAATTTCACACACAATTTTTTTTTGAGGGGATTTTTTTTTAGCTCCTTTAGACTGAGTGCTAAGCCTACCTTTGATAAATAGGCCACTCAGTCATGCCAGAGAGGGCACAGTATTTGTACTGGTTCCCGATGGTGAACAGTTTTCCATCCGATCTTTGCTGTGCCATGTAAATGTCAGTTTAAGTCCATAATTTTCAGTAAAATAGGTACAGTAGCCCAAGTGTCTCATTCTTAAAGTGGCTGCTGCATCTCCCCTCCCCCCAGTCCCGGTTGGTTGGTATGCAAGTGAGCTCCCCAGGGTACAGCTTCAATTGTTTTGTTCAGAGTTTGGTAAGCAACCGAAAAATTTCATCGCGATATAGTTAACCCCAGGTTTCATTGAGCTTTTTCGCATAAAACGTAAAATATCGGAGGCACTATATCAAATTAGTGACTAGGAAATCAGGGATAGGAAAATGACATGCAAATGAAAGTGATGATGTCACAACTGACTTATATTATTATAAATAAGAATATCAGTATTACTATAGAAAAACAAGTGGAATATTTGTATCATTCCTGGTAAGTTAAACAATTTTAGGCACAGGTGTAAATGATGATACAGTAGCTTTAATAGGAGAGTATTGAATGTGCCAATATAAAAAGTATCTAACCTTACTATTATTAATTATTATTATTTCTTAGCTATTATTTATTATAACAGAGTACTAATACAGTACTATTATTTTATATTATTGCAAAGCAATTACTACATATGATATGATAATTTATCATATAGTAATTGCTACTATAATTACTATTGTATTGTAACATAGGCCTACTGCTTAAAGTCTAATCTACGCATAATTAGATAGGAGTTAGCAATTAGATCATTTCCAGGAAAATAATAGGAAGTGATAACCATATAATATGGATGGTGGTAGGGTGTGTCATAGATTTCTGATGTCAAAATTGTCATATAGTATTTTGTTCATTTCAAAACTTCAGCCATATTGATTGTCGGGAGGGGTGCTCAATAGATGAGTCATCAACCACTGAAACCACCTGGTATATAGTATTTCTACTATAATAATTCAAACTATAGTGATAACCATATAATATGGATGGTGGTAGGGTGTGTCATAGATGTACAATAGCCGATGACAAGGATGCATTACTAGTACTTGATTTGGTGTCAATTACGTGATGTATGATAAATTGTGGTAAATAGTGAGCAATTTTCTTAAACAGAATTACTTAAACTTAAACAGAATTACTATTTGTAAAATGACAACTCATTATAATAGTTTACAAGTTCATAAGTGATCATTATTATTTATTTATTTAGCTTCAGGCACCAGGGTCAGGGATATGCCAAACGGTGAACTAAATCAATCTCCAAAGTGGCAATCCCATTACAACAAAATAGGGGCTGTACATGGATCAGTACACTGGGATATTCCCATACTCATCTCGAAAGATACTGGATTCTTTAAAGTGCACATGAGCCAATTGTATACACTGGGCCTACAGTTTATAGTCCTTATCCAAGAAGACTTGTTCCACCTCCAGAACCATAGGCGAGCATGCCGTTCGAACCAGCGCTGATATTAATGCTGTCGGTTGCAGTGCCCTTGCCTTAACCGCTCAGCCATTCAACTCGCCTTTTATAAAATTGATTGAGAAACTGTGCATAACAATTACCATAAATAAATATATTCAGTGATTATCTTAAGGGTCTCCTAGACTATACTGTACTCAGATATTAGTGATAAACAATAATTATGGAAGTGAAACTAGAGTACTAATAAACATTTGAACATTTGCTGCTATTCATTTGCATACTATCACTACCTCCCAGCATCATGATCAAAGTACTAAAGTGAAAGGAAGTTTACAGAGTATATTCAATAACATAATTTAAGTTTTATTTTACTCATTCAAACCTGGGCAGATGCAGGGGGAATGTAGACGGTGTGATTGCACCCCCTAAGAAAAATAATTTTTGTATTTTATTGTTGATATAGTATAGAACAATATAAAGTAAATGACAGCAGCACTTTTGAGACTAACAATATAGAATTTATTCTCTAGCTTTCGTCCACACAGTGGACTTCATCAGGAGACTGTCTCATTTTTTTTTAATTGACCCATTTTACAAAACAATATGAAAAATCTGAATTCATATTCTTAAAAGTTGACCCATTTCATGCAAAATATAAGAAATCTTGACTCATTTAAAAAAAGTGGACCCTTGTTTTGTGGACCTGCCAATGCCAAAAAAGGTCCGGAGGACAGATTCTGGCAGCCAAAGTCGGTCTGCCGGAATACTTTTGGCCGCTAAAATCAGTCCACCGGGTCGATTTTAGCTGCTAAAATTGGTCCCCATTGGATAAAATTGATCCGTCGGCCTGGCCGCTTGTAACGCATCTGCTGCCCGTAGGGTATGATTGTTTCTCCCGTGGAGTGGAAGGAAGTAATTTATGCTTCTCCTACACTTGAAAAATCTTTTGCAGTTATAGAATGATTCGTATTAAGCTTTTGTGGACCCCGTTGTGGACGTGTTTTAACAAACACACATGATAATGCATTTCCTAGGCCTTAGCGACACAAGGCATGCGTGCATTTGAAACGCAAGTCTGATTTATTAGTTTTAAATATTCCATATTATTGTGACAGGTATTATGTCATACAATAGTTCTATTACATGAAAATAAGGGGTCAATCATTTCTTTGAAATGATTGCTCATGTATTTCGTCGCGACGTTATAAGCAAGCACACAACCAAAACAAAACAAGGTAAAAAATAAACTAAAGCGGACCAACACGATTTACGATCATATCATTTAACTTCTTTTTCTAACTTTTACACCAAAGAGTTTACTGGGTGCGAAGAGCGAAAATAACATACTAATTTTTGTGGCTGTATACTCAATTGCACACACAACAATGAAAAATTATTATATAGAAGAGATAAGATATTTGTCTATCATTTGATTAAAAACCAATATGAACAACGCTAAAAAAAATAAAGGTTATAACTACTAAATAGATGCCAGACCGATTTTGGCTTAAGTAGACTACATTTGGCAGGTAATTTTAAAGCTAAAATCGGTCCGGCAGACTGATTTTGGTCCCGGACCAAATTTTTCCCGACAGACCCACTAGAAAATTTGTGTGGGCCTGTCCCAAATGTCACAATAGCTGGCTCGGCATTGCTATTCATGAATCGAATATTTAAAACAAAAACCAACAAAAGGAGAAAAAAGACTTACCATCTTAATATCTACTATTATAAAGTGCTCAATATAATATATTGGCCTTAGATAGGCCGAGTTCCTCAGTCAAAGTTTCCAATTCGGTGTGTAAAAAGTGGACAGCATCAACAAATTGTTTTTGTTTATTGTTCTTTTGAAAGGTGTCAAACGTCGACGTCACGTCACTTAACGAACAAAATGATGGGCTTCTGATTTCCTGAAATATTGTTCATTAATCGACATCACAGCACACCGCCACTTGATTGTAAACCTTGTGCAAACAGGTGTACAACAGATACCTCTTTTCAGATTATTCCTCCTTTTCTGCAAGACCTTAAATAAGTTCCTCCACCTACCTTCAGTTAGCAAGGCGCACTAGCTGAGATCAACAAGTGAAAATCACCGCATTTGTAAATTACTAGACATCATAATAGCCCGCACAGTAGCCTTCTAAAACGATTATTACCTTAGTTTTTAGCGTTTTATTTACACCTTATGCCTACTAAGTATTGATCACGTATCCACCAGTTGTTTTTCAGACTAAATAAAACATTACAACTTCGTGCTTACTGCTTACTCTTCACTGTTGTTAAATTTTGAGATGACGCGGAAGTAACCGCTTTGGATGATAGAGGGCGCTATGTACAAAAATGGTACCATCACAATCACAAAGAAATTAATAAACGTATCAGTTCAATGTGGCCAATAATAAACGTTTTGAACATGCGATTAAAATCCAAAATCTTCAGTAATCCGAATGTTTGCTCACGCTGGCATCATTTGAGTTAAATGATAGCCACACTAACAATAAATAATAATGATAATAATACACATTTAAAGCGCCTATTAAAGCAAAAACAAAAACAAAAAATGGTTTGTTACCTTAACAGCGCAGGAAGATGTTGCATGTTATAAAGATGAACTATAAAGAGGAAGGATTTAAGATTGGATTTGAATAATTGTGAATCAGAGATGATACGTAATTGTTGGGGCCAGAGAGTTCCAGATTTTAGGATCAGAAAAGGAACGTTCACCAGTACATACAATGTGCTTGACTCTTGCAGTAATAAGTTGGAGGAATTAAGAAGAACGAGTTGAACGGAAGGAACTTGTTTGTCAATAAGGGAACAAAGATGGGGCATGACCATGGATAGATTTTTGGGTGAAAAGACTAAGTTTAAAAATGATGCGCTTACTACCGCAGTGAAAAATGTTTAATATTGGCGTAATATGGATGAATACCCTAATAAGGAGAAAACGCTAATAATTGTAAGTCTGCACCCTCACAGTCCTATATCGTTCACTCCGTCTCAAACTTCCCCAACAAGCTTCTTATTTGGCAATTCCTCCCTAAACTTTGTTAAGTCTATTATGAGTTTAGATTCAAAACTTACAACGACCGATGGATTCATTTGACGTCATCAGCGTTGGTTAACATGTAACAAACGGGCCAATGGGGTGGGGATGCAGGGGCGGATCCAGAGATGTCCAAAAGGGGGGGGGAATGATACTCTTATACACATCTAGATGTGTATAAGAGACAGGCCCTAGGGGGTCCGGGTCCCGCGAAGTTTTTGTGATCTAGACGCCCGAAAATAACATTTGAGGCGTTCTGGGCTATCATTTTTTTTCTTTTTCTTTCTTTTTTTCTTTCTTTTTTCTTTTTTTACCTCCCAAAAAGGGGGGCCGGGGCCGGGCCGGCCCCCCCCTAAATCCGCCCCTGGGATGGAGGACACGTAGGGCCTACATATTTTAAGTGGGTTGGCCCTCCTTTTCTGCCGCCGGCAATATAATTTAATAAATCAACATGATGCCTAACAATGAACTGTTAAAATGACCCACATTTTAAGGAAAAGAGTTCTGCCACAGTACATGATAGCAGTGGCGGATCCGGGGGGGGGGGTTCAATGGTTTCGAACGAACCCCCCTCCGTGAAGAAACGAACAAAAAATACTAATGGGTCCTGGCTTACAAAATGCGTGCTTAGGCATAGGTTGGCAGATCGGACAAACTAGGCTTAAAATAAAATTAAAAACACTGTTTTTGGTTGGCATCGTAATACTGTAATTTATGTACGAAAGTGCGTTCTTCAGGCCTATCGGTTCATCGATCCATGGAAGAAAGATTACATATCCAACTAAGCCTACTCAATATTGTTGAAACATAATAGTATATTGCCTAAATCTTAGATTTTTTTTTCTCAATGTAGGCCTAAGAATGAGATAAAATTACCAGACCTTTATGAAGAGGGGGAACCTTGAAATTTGAAGAAATTAAAGGTCATTAAAAGACATCTCTGAAGCCATGAAAGTTCATTTCCGGCCAACTAGGAATCAAAATTTTCCCCGGGGGAGGACCCCCAACCCCCCTTTTTAATTGGGATTTTTTAGAAACATTTTGAATCCCCCTCTTTCAGATCCTGGATCCGCCCCTACCGGGTATCTTACCTTTGTTGGCAGTTCATTTTGAATATAGGCCTATTTGTGATGTGGTGATGATACATTTTACTATAATTTTTATAAGAGTATCATTGCCATGTCTAGAGGTAAACAAATAGGAGTTGGTCTACACAAGGAAAAAACAACAACAAATAAAAATTCTATGACATGAGATTTACATTTAAAAAATAATAAAATAAAATAAAAATAACACACAATGTTCAATTTATCTGCATTGATAGGCCTATTGTCTATGTTGGCAGGCCCAGGGGTTTGGTTAAGCACATCACTTGATGACAGTTTTTAACCTTTTGACATCCCTCGGCACCCCTGTACAACCCTTTTTGTTGTTTTCTTGTCGAAATATGTAAATAAATAAACAATTAATATTGCGATCATAGGGAAAAAATCATGGTAGGCTTACTCTCATGAAGCATATATGTATTTTTATAGGGGTGGGGAATCCCATGCACCCCTTAGATACGCCAATGGGCAGTAGCGAAGTCAGGTTTAGTGTGGTGCTTATTTGGAAGCGGCGCTTAATCGAGAGAGGTGAAATCATTTACATAGGGCCTAATTTTAAAAATTATTTTTTCAAAATCCACAATTGTATGAATATTGTGTTCATTAAAGTGACCTTACCCGTGACAGTGCACAATCGAAAACATAAGGCTACATAAAATATATAGATAATGAATGTTTCACGTCACCACCCATATCAAATGTTGGAGCCTCATGAAAAAAAAAATGTTTTGCTATTAAAAAATGCCCAAAACATTTTTCCATGGAAAATAAATATAATGATGGTCTGAAAGATAGGCCCCGGCGGGGGGCTAATGGAGCGAATCGAGTCTCACTTTGCTGGGGGCCAGGGGCCGCTAGGGATTCGCCCCCTGGAAGCCACGAATATTTGATGAATTTAAATGGCGAATTTTTATTACTTATTTGATAGACATCGATACTAGGCCTATATGACTTCATGTAGGCTATGCTTTCTAATGTTGAAATCAGCTTCCAAAACCAAAACATTTTGAATAAAGCAAGAAACAAAAAGTATGCAATGTAACCATTTAATTTATTTTCAAATCCTCATTCTTGAAAGTGAAATTCTATATTTTGGAAATTTTGCATGAAATCTGTCAACCACGCTGTCATGCATGGTCGAGGTTGCTTCACCTATCACGATGTATTCCAACCATCATGAGGCTATCTAAATGAGCATTTGTCATAACAGAACGCAAATTATTTTCAATTAGTCTCATTGAATTATTATTATTATTATTATTATTATTATTATTATTATTATTGTTGTTGTTGTTGTTGTTGTTGTTGTTGTGATGATGAAAAGTTAACACAAACAATATATACCCCCGACGGGGATATATCCCCCACCCAGGTCCCCTCCCCCTCACCCCAGGTCTGGCGCTACCACTGCCTCACCAAAAAAAATATCAAACGCAGGACGAAACTAATAAAATATTTTATATTTGGCGGCGCCTCCCCGATGGGAGTTCAAGGTCTCCAACAGGGGGAGGGGATGGGGCTGATATCCCCGACAAGAAAAAAGTGGGCGTGGTCGGGCGTCGCTAAAAACCTTTTAGCGACGGGGAGGGGGAGTATATGACAATTTAGGGGTTTCAAAGTCTTATTTAATCAATAACCCCTCCCGTGGCGCCGCCACTGCTAATACTCAGTAATACCTTGGTAATACTTGCATCGTAGCGCCGCCACACAGGCAATACAGTAACAGTACAGTACATTTATTCCTCCATGATGATAGGCCTACTTGAATTGCATTTGGGAAATTCCAATATTATATCATACCCGTTCCGCTGCTTTATTAGTGCTTTTGTTTTTTGGAGCGTCAGTATAGGCATTTGAGAATCAAGAGAGGCATATAGCATATAGGGCCTAGCTAGGGCGCGGCATAGGTAAGTAAGAATTTATGTTCTTGAATGTCTGTTGCATGTCAGTCTGCTTTGCCTCCTATTAGAATTTCTGTACTAATAAGTTTTTAAACCATGATGGCATGGAGGTATGTAAAATTAAACATTTCAAATATAATAAACTAATAACTTCCCTGGTTCCGATGCTATAGCATTCATGTCATGAAGTAGTAGGTAAGTAAAGTAAAGTAAATAGCCTACATAAAATGCAATGGTTTTAAGTTGTACCAACAACTCCCTGGTTGTACGTTCTATGTACATCACAGAGATTAATTAGATCTCTGATTGCTAAAAATTGCTGATATAAGAGATCATAAAAATTTGTTGGCGCTTCATTTTGACTATAATGTTGATGATATAAGAGTGTCATTTCCGGCGATTTAGAGGTACTAATATTATTATTATATATGGTACCCATGTTTTCGCACCTCAGTCCCAACCATGGTGCGGCTGAGGTGGGTGTGGACTCATGGCTTTGAAGTAGGTATTTGTAAAGTAACAAAGACAACGTTTTAAAGCCCAGGGCTATTGAGGGCTCGTTCATTTACATTACTGTATATTTTTTACCAGCTTGGTTCCTGTGTTTGAAGAAATATAAGTGCATGGAGCAAAAATTGACTATAAAATAAGATAACTTTTGGAATCAAACTCACCTAGATTAAGGCTTTATGTAAGTAAGAATTAAATTTGTTCTTAAATATCTACATTGCATTAATGGCTACATTTTGTTTATAAACAAAATACTTGTTGAAATCAATGTTAATATGCAGCAGTTTTTTATATTGGTTAATATTTGTTAATAATGAGGCAACACATAATCATTTTGCAGTACGAATATTTGATCAATGTATATTCTCTTTATTTCCAAAACAACGTAGGCCTAAGACTAAATAAAAGAGTCTATTGATCATTTGAAAAGAAAAACGATAGGCCTATCATTATTGGATTCATATGTAAGCCTAATGTCTATACTACCACGTCATCATAGTATATATACAGTATGTATAAATGATAAACAGCCCTCAAAATTAGGGATAAAACACGCCGCCAAAAAATCGCCGACGTTAAAAAATTGACGCCGGTCGTACGTCGGCATTTTCAAAAAGTTGTCAAGTACTAGGCCTAAACCTAGGCTAGTACTAAGTACTAGCCTACGCGCGCCTACATGGACCATCGGATCCCCAGAGTGCTGTGAAGTTTTAGGTAGACCTAGGCTAGCCGCAGTGATAAAAAAATAAGCACTAACCATGGATGTTGAAATATGTTTACATGTTACTTTTGTGAAAACGAATTAAAACTAAAATACTCTGGGCATATTTATCCCTAAAATAAAAGCCACCACAGTCAAAAGGATAGCAAACTTTGGTGACGACGAACACGCTCGACTTGCTGTTCTTTCTAGGAGATGTTGGCGACGCACTGCAGAACGTGTGAGTTGGGGATCGTCTTTCACTTTCACTAAAATCAACGGAGAATAGAGACAGAACAGCTACATGTGTGTAAGGGATTACCTTAGAAGTTCCGTTTTTTTTTAATTAGTGTAATTTATTCGTGAAAAGTAGCAGTACGTTTCTGTTGAATTGGTGTTTGAAAAGTAAATGATTGCAACTGTATAATACATTATTAGTATATATTTACCACACATTAACAAAAATTTTTGACATTTCAAATTATATTTTTAATTAATTTAACAAAGAAATGCATGTAGGATAGTTTTCTAGGCCTAGCCCGCCTAGGCCTAGTCCCTCTGTGTGTGCAATCCTGCTTTTTCTGCACGTCGGCAATTTTATCGCCGGTGACGGGTGCCTAGACGCCGGCATTTACGCCGGCACTGCCGAATGCCGACGTTAATTTTGAGGGCTGGATAAACGTACTGTACATAGGCCCTATCATTATAATCTATCATCCTTTTAAATTCAGTACCACCGATTTTACCTTTGGCCATGCAACCCGAGTTAACTATGGAAGCATTTTAATGCTGAATCTATCAAATGGAGGCATTGTTGGCAGATGAGGACAAGATTGAGTGACGAGGAAATCTAAAGTGCATATGGAACAAATGTTGGCACCTCCTAAGACTACCACCGCTCGATAGCTCATCACTCCCTCTCCCTTAATCCATGTGTTTATTCCGTGTTTTTCACTTCCAACAGAGTGGTTCGACTTCAAACTTAATCAAGGCCTTTTACTCTGCCAAGGGATATTATCAATGAGTATTTTGTAGGTTCGAGCCCGAGTGTATGTTCCAGAGACTACAGTAACACGTACGTACTACAATTCTAACTTTGTAGTCTTTGCAATATTAAATGTGTTTCTTTATAGATAAAACAAATAATTACATTTGCAATAATTATTCCCTAGCAGACCATTAAATACTGGCAGAATGAATTTAATAATCCATTTGGAGATTAGAAATAATAGGCCCTAGATAACCTATACTTAGGCCTATTACTATTTTTTTAGGATTCCAACATGGCTGAAAATGAGCTGCACCAATCAATGGGAGATTCAAATAAATGTCAAATCTGTCTACAAACACGCAATGAACTAAAAACATTAAATTGCCAGCATAGTTTCTGCTTGCATTGTCTTCAAGATTGGATGAATAAAAAGGGGGAAATGGAGTGTCCCAACTGCCGTCAAGTACAGCGTATTTGTGAGGGAGGGCTTAAGGAACTGCCTTCAAAAACAAATATTGAGGGTACTGAAGAGCATTTAGTTGAAGGTCATGGTGACAGGAAATGCTACTGTGGTAAAGAAAATGCTGAGTTCTTCTGTCAGGATTGTAGACAGTGCATATGTTCCTTTTGCAAACATTCTCATGATTTTTTGCCTGCTCTCAGGAACCATACGCTAGAACCAATCAATACCAACTGGCCAACAGAAGAGCCAGAACCACTTTGTCCACAGCATGAGAAAAAGTTCGAGTTTTATTGCAACATTTGTAAAACACCAATCTGCCAAAAATGCACTGTTACAGATCATAGTAAAGATGAAGGAGAGCATGAACCAATCAGAGCTTCTGAGGCGTTCAATGACTTTAAGTTAACAGCAAATGCTTTGATGGCTCGGGCTGATATTCACAAACAGCAGATACAAGTATGTATAAACAAATGTATTGCAAATATTTCTGATCTTATTAGGAGTATAACTTGTCTAAAAAAAGACATGAACAATACAGTGGAAGAAATTGTTAAGTTAGTCAGTGAAAAAGGAGAGGCATTGGAAGCGAAGCTGGATGATGTCTGTGAGGCAAAACAAGAGAAAAGTAACTCTCAAATTGATGAACTAGAATCAATAATATCAGGTGTGAAAGAAAAACAAGAATACATCGCAAAACTATTGAAAAGTGGTGAAGCAACAGCCCTCCAAACTTTTGAACAGGTAATCATCGAGTTACAAGAAAAGATTGCTGTCTTACCAGAGACAGAAGCTAGAGATGATGGGAAAGTTTACTCCTCCTCAAACAAAGATCAAATATTGAATACATTAAGGAAACTGGATATAGGTAGTGTAACTGAAAAGCCAGATGCAAATATCTTTGAAATTGTACCAGGATACCCAAATACTGTTACACATAATCAATCTTTTCATGTTAAAATAGTTCAAAATAGTAAATGTGAAGTAGATATAAAGGACCTACAGGCAAAATGGTTTTTTAATGATAAAAATTGGAGTAATTGTGGCAAGGTTGAGCAGACTGGTGAGAGAGAGTATATTGTAAGCTCAGCTTATATGTCATGGACATGTAGTACCATGAAGTTGCATGTTAAATTTTGTAATGCTTCAATAAAAGGCTCTCCAATCACAATCAATATTAAATCACAATGTACACTGACCATCATTGACAACATTGCTAACAATGAAAAGGGCATCAGCACATTATTCTGGTCTCAAAATGGTTATTTTTTAATGGGGTGCCACACAAATGAAATCTTTAAAGTAACAAATGCAGGTGCATATATGAGTAAAATAGAATTATCACAAAAATCAAGGATTAGTGGAATTTGTGAGTTGAAAAACAACAACCTGATATTTTGTGACTGGGGTAGTACAAACATAACAATTTGCAAACAAGATGGTCAGGTGATTAAATCCATATCAACTGGTCTGGCAAGTCAAAGTTCACCAACTGGTATTGATGTGAATGAAGATTTAAATTTAGTATATGTTTCTGATCTAACTGCAAATTGTGTGTATGCATTTGACATGGAGAGTAATTCTAAGGTGAAGACCATTGGATTTAAGGGTTTTCTTGAAGGACAAATTAATGAGGTTTCTGATGTTGCTGTCATAAAAAATGGAAATCTTATTGTGGCTGACAATTCAAGAATTCAGTTATTTGACAAAGACGGTCAATTCATGAACCTTCTTGTTGGTGGAGGCAAAAAAACTGGAATGGTGTTAAAGCCGTTTAAAGTAGTTGTTGATTATGATGAAAACATTATAGTAGCAAGTGAAGGAAAGGTACAGTTATTTGATAGTCAAGGAAAGTTTGTTAAAGAACTTTATCAAAACGTAAATAGGAAATGTGCAAATTATGTAATATCTGTCTTATCCCAATATCCTCGAGTTCTTGCATTAGCAGAATTAAATTCAAATAAAATCGACGTAGTTTATTATTAGAATTTAGAGTCCTTATGTATCAATAAATAACTGACTACTTGATTTATTGGATTAGGGAGATAGTCAAAATTGATAATCCAATGTAAATGTGGATGACCAGTCATAGCATCCTATACTCTGCAGTATTCAGAATTAATATTTAAATTAGGCCTACTAAGGTTGAACACTTATTGTTTTCGAACTATTCTGTTTGAAATCTGTGAGGTATATAATATACATTATGGGTGTGATTCCCAACCATTTTGCATTCGTGGACCCATGTCAAAAGTCTTACAGACCTCCAAGCCCAAGTTTACTCATTGTCAATATTCCATTCATAAGACTATAGACAGAAGATGATTCGCCGCAAAAGCACATCATCATTTAATTTAAATTTGTTTCCTAATCATTTAAAATCTTATTTACAAAGACTGACTCCCGACTTTCAGTGGCATAACGCCTGTGAGTTATCGTGGGGCCCCTAACCACATGGTCTTCGATTTGCACCCTGACCCAAAAGGGCTTTGTTGATACGTAAGAGCAAAATGTGTCCTTGACATTAACTGTATATCATATTATATCCAGTGGCGAATTAATGGGGTGCCTCAATTTTTTAATTTTAAGCCTGCGAGTGCTTAGAGGTGCTTTAATCATAATTTTTTTTTACCGTGCTGAAATAGTAGTCAATTGCTGTATTCGTGGGTGTTGAGTTATCTTGTCTTAGGATGTGTCCCATCAATCGCCACCGGGCTTCCAAAATGTCTAGTGATATTGGTCGGGATTGGCATCTAGTGTACAGTTTTTTATTTGAAATTTTGTGAGAATATTTTATTTTTAATAATTGTCGAAGGTGTTTCCTGTGAAATATGTTGAGTATTTCATCGTCTTCTTTCTTTAGTCCCCATGTGCTCCTGTTGTAGAGAAGTATTGGCTTGACTAGTGAGTTAATAGAGTTTTAGTCTAATTTTCTCTTTTTTTTTTTCTTTTTTTCTTTTCTTAATCAAATGGCTAATAATTTGTTCATTGTAGTGGACGCTAACTGTTTTTGTCTGGCTTTGTCTTCTTCTGCCCAGAAGCAACCAAACTTTCTTTGTTTTTCTCCCAATAATAGTATACTCTGTTTTTTTCTTTATTTACTTTTAAGTGAAATTGTTTTAAGTGATTCTCGATCTGATCAATGTTTGCTTTACTATTCAAGGAAATGAAATCCACGTCATCTACGTAGGCAATCTCTTTTGGGATTCTTGATGCGATTCCGGCCCCTGAGTCCCTGGAGGGCCTGCTCTAAATATACTGTGAATAGTACTTGACTAAGGTTATCACCTTGTGGGGTTCCTATACTGCTTTTGAATACTTTAAGTTCTGTAGCTCCTTTAATTTATAATTTGAGGCACGTTTGGCTGAGAAGGAACCGTATCATTTGCAGTTCATTTTCGTTTATGATATTTTCCATTATTCGAATAAGTTACGTCTATCCACTGTGTCGAATGCGCTAGACAAGTCGATTCCTGTTATGTAAACAAAAACAAGCACATCTAAAATCTCACAATGGAATTAACAACTGGCACCCAAAAGGCCCCCACTCTCAGAAAGCCACAGGGCCCAGGGCCCCATCGTTACGCCACTGCCGACGTTTAATTTGTGTATACATTTTCAATAAATTTTGTTCTGGTGTGATAAATTAACATTTTAAAGTAAATTTCGATTAGAGAATATTGAATTTATTCACCTATATGCTATTTGTAGAATGTTTTTTTTGTGTAAAACAGTGTTCAGGGAGACTAACTTCAATAGTAATGTAGCTTATTTTTTTGGAATCCCTTCTCAACAATTGTAATTTTTGTTTTGTTTGTTAAGCATGTTTTATGAGAGAAAATAAATGAAATGAAGTCAAAGCTATTTCATTATTGATAAGGCTCCTAGTGATTAGCAGTGGGAACCACTGCATTAGCAGAAAAGTGATATTTAGTTTGTATCATATAGAGTACCATACTAAATAATGCTTATTAGCTTTCACTTACAGAATGTAGTACCATTAAAGTTTACTAACTCTTTCCTGTAATTTAAATTACAACACAATATAAACTAAAATAAAACACATTAATAAGGGGATCACTTTAATTATAAATATTCTGAAGATGCGTTTTCAGACATTTTGGAAGCATTTTCCAAGTTAAAAAATAGATTTTAAGTTAATTTCTGCTACATAGAAAAATTTGACTTCCAGCAGTTGGAGAGAGTATAGTATGCCTATGGAACGCCATTGGTGCCAAAATAGTTTAGTTTTCACTGATCAAGACAAAATTAGGGACTGGAACCCAGTCTACTGAACACATATTAGGTAGCTGTCATCATTTGATGACTACTGTACACATGAAAAAAAACCCACTAAGTCTTAAAAAAGAAGTTATAATTACCAAGATAATGTTATGCATGAGTGTAAGTATACAATGTTGCAATGTGTTCTTTACAATGTATTTCACCACTTTACGCATCATAAAACTTACGACATTTAATCGAAACTTAATTCCAGAGTTTGTCTTATGCTCTAATCCCCTTGGTTACAGGCCTGGTAATATGCATTAATTATAGAGAAAAAAAAAGCAATGCTTTATCGTGTGTAGTATTAGTCTGTTGATGTTTTAAATATTTAGTATAAACCGATATTTTGTCTAGTGCTGCTTTAAATTGTCTTCATTCATTATTTCATTAACATGCTGTGTTGTAAAATGTATAGAACAACAAATTATGTACTTATTGTACATACTGGCAGGCACTGTACAAACTGTGAAATGCATACACTACTGAATAATTAGCAGGCATGAGAATTATGTAACACACACATATATATGCATACACAATAGGGAGTTCTTAAGTTAAATTTAGTTGCTGTAATAAATGAAGTCGCACAAGTTTGTTTTCTATTATCTTGTTGTTGTCATATTGTAATAGAATCAAGTTAACATCGACAGCCTTGACACCATGGATATAAAAAAAAAAAACAAGGGTTACTAATATAACTACTGTACAATCATAGTATGCAAAGGCAATAGAAACTGTTTTGAATCAAGATGTTAAGGATTAGATCTCAGCAGTGGAATGGTCATGGCTGAGGATGATATGGTGTAGCAGCAAGTGCGCAATTGTGTTTTGAAATGTGGAGCATCTCAGAGACCAGCACATCTGTTGGTCCTGAAGTGATAAAATGTTAAAAATATCCTACCCAAGACACCAACAAAATTTGCCTTTTAAAAATTAAATTGCACTGTCTTAACATAATATATTCCCAAATTTGGGGTATAGGGCTACTACCGTGCAAGAGTATCTCACATCAGGCCATTTATTAACAATTTCTCCCGAGATATCTTTTGTTTACCTTGTCAAATATTTTATACACGTAACCTCATCAGAGGGCACTGAATGAGGTAGCAATTGACATTTTTGCGTGTCTTAATTCGTACCAGTCCAACCGATATTATTTTGCACTAAAGAGGTATAAAAAGAGCATAGTATCATCCCATACGGTTAGTTTTGCCTTTGGTCATTTGGAGTTCATTTCAACAAATCATGGTCATCTACAATGTATAAATTTTCTTACAGCTACAAAGTGAAAGAGATTACTCCTATTAATATATATATATAGAACATGTGTCCCCATACGCTTACGATCGCCGCGAAATTTGAATACGAAGGTGATCACATTTTTCTTGGCCGGTTAACTACACAGACCCTTATTTAGGGGTCTTAATAATTCAGGAGTTGCATTACCAAAACTGTATACCACGTGGGCAAAGTGCGGACCTGACCACATGCAACCTGACAGCAATTTTGATGTGGCCTGCAAAAAATCTATTAAAACCGGAGTTTGGCCGATGCTGATCATTTGTAAAAGAAATATTAAAGTTGAGCATAGCATAAAATGGTACAAGAATGTAGTTGTTAGTGGTTAAGAGCCTTGCCTTCTAATCCATGTTCCTGGGTTTTCTCTCCAAAATATACAAAAGACAAGAACAGATGCAATGAGAATATCAGGCTACCTTCTAGGATATGCTGGAAGGGTCACCCTTCGTAAATATTGTATAAAAGAAAGGAGCAGAGCATGCAGGTTTCACACACTTTTGAAACACTATACTTTCACCAAGAATCTACGTTTGTGTGTAGCTATCAATGTTTAATCAGAAATGATAAAGCAGAAATCTATGATATACACAATATCACCAAAATGCATTTTATTCGGTAAATTTGAAGTAATAACATCCGATTGAGAGTCAAACTTACAACAATGGATTCACTTACAAATACATCAGCGTTGGTATTAGCACTTAATATATAACATGCAACAAAAGTATCTATGAAAACACACAAAAAAATAACGCACAAAAAAATAATACACAAGGATCTAAGAAGGATTGATTTACAGCATGTGGTAAACGTCACATGATTTCCATACATGGAATTATTTTATAAAGATTCAAGTGCAACATTTCAGAGTATAAAATCCTTTGGATATAGAAACCCATTCTATAACACTTACAGGATTTACAGAAAAAAATATTCTTTTGAATAAATTCTTCTAACATCAACACATAGTGTGTCATTTAAATAGTCAATTTTTATTGATCAAATAAATAACTGACCAACCAATAACAAATCTATTGGAAAATGACCAACTAATTAATTTATAGTACGGTATTTTTAATTATCTTAAAATATCCTTAACATATTTTTAAACAAGCCAGTAAGTTGATATCGTTTTATTTGTTTAAAAATATATTAAGGATATTGATACAAAACTAGATAAAACTATTTGATTATTGATAAGCATAATTACTTTTAGCATTATGACCAACTAAAATATCGAATACAGATAGGTAGAGGAGTAATTATTTAACAATTTAATGTAACACAAAATATCCTAAACAATCATAAATACATAATCACCCACCTTGACTTTTTTTTCGAAATGTAGATATGGCTTCTTGAACAAAAATGAATAATCAATAAATAATCCAACATGGGTATCTGAAATTATGTGTATCCAAAATCCAATGGAATTGCATCTAAATAACAACTTGGAACAGGTACATATTTGTGAATGAGAAAGAACTGACCCTGTACTCTGAAGTGCTCCAGACCTTCTACAAAGAGGCATCTTCAGGCTCCTTTCACACAAACCACAAAATCCTCTAATACAGAAGACTTAAGACCCCTTACACAGAGAACATCAAGAACATGTTTACAAAGGAGCCTGAATGATGGAGTTTTTAGACCACCTATACAGAGGAACCTCCAGACATCTTGCAGAGATATACGACCCTTAGGTCCCATACATAGACGAGCCTCAAGGTCCTCGTACAGACAACCTCCAGACCACTCTCATAGAGGACACTACACAGATGAGCTTTAGGACCGCCTTACAGAGGAGCCTTAGAACCCAAACATAGAGGCTCGAGCCTCCAGACACACTACACATAAGAGCCTAAAAACCACATGCCAAAAAAAAACTAACAAATGTTATCACAAACATACTCAATACAGACAACTAAACATTATCTGGTATTGCTTACAGAATGTCCGTTGATGACTCATTCAGTAGCATAAACCAATGTTCATAAATTACAAAAGAAAATTAAAATGCTAAAACATTACCTAAACACTCTAAAGCATAGCATAAAAAAGGCAAAACAAGTACCTTAAGCTATATGTTACAAGATAGTTGTACTTTTATCCAATGGCATTGAACAAAATATTACATAATAACCATTTACAATTAATTTGTAATTACCGTATATGAAAATTCTCTTCTATTTTTTTTGTCAAATCTACAATTAAAATTTACCAGATCCTTGAGATGAACTGATTAGAAAAAATTCCCTTCAGAATTAAATTTACAACTGAGTAAAGTCTGATACGTTTGCTTACTTGCTTATCAATATATTGAAACTAATTTACCTAAAAAAACCAACTTATTCAGTAATTAAATGATATGAAATCAATTACATATGAAAGAATATATCTGTAATTCCATTTGATTCTAAGAAAATACACCTGATGTCTATGTTAATATCAATTATCATTATCATCATTATTAACAAAATAAAGACTCATCATAACAATACGTGTAATTGATATGTACAATGATGAACAAACACCTTTAAAATATCAACAAGAGTAGCTATACAAAATAATTCACTTACATTACTGATTCATTTCTTCAATATCAAAATTATCTGTGATTTCCAGATACCTGACTGTAATTTAGGTATTCATAAATTTTTGTCCATTTTGGATTAAATTTTTATTATAATACACGATTATGACATTATATTTAATATGAACAACATCGGGCATTTGATTCAATGTCATTGATAAGAATATCTCGATGGAAACTGTTTTCGCTCGAAGACAATACTGTACATAATTCATCTGTGGATGGCAACTAATGTTTGATAGTTAATGCAACAGATTATCACCATTCTGATGGAAATCAATTTGATCAATTTAAAGGCATTGCTCACTGCAAATAAATAAACTAAAATAAACTACAAATAGCAGGTTTTTGAAATAGAGAAAATCAGGAAGTTTGTTTACGGAGAATATACTAGTAGACTACGGAATTTAGGCCTTAAAAGAACTTGGTTTAATCCAAGACAGTCTGTGCCCACTATATATGGAAACTACTGTACTGCAGCCTTCATAAGCATGAATGCAAAGATTACTGCTAGGTCCAAGTCTTTGCAGATTCTATCTAAAGGGCCGAAGCGTTATGAGGCTGGTACTCAAGTAGTATGATGACTACTTGGCCTAATTTGGGCAGATAACTCCTCAATAATATTTGCTACCACATCAGAGAGAATTTTTTTTTTCTTAAAATGTATGACATGCTTGTCAACAGAAACAATATAATAAATAAAAGCTTGTGTTATTTATGGGTCTTTGTTTTGTAAAAATAGATTAACATAAATCAAATAAAATTTATATAATACTTCAATATATATGCAGGCGTACATTCTCTTCTGTACCATCATGCTGGCTGTTTGAACCTGGTTAATCTAATATTAAAGGGTTTTTAGGAAAAAATGAAATATTTCATTAAAACTTGTTAAAAATTGTTAAAATATAATAAGAATTAGCACCAACTATCAGTCTGAAATCCACTCCTTGAGAAAATAAAGTTAAAATATTATCATTAAAACTACTTTTTAAATTGTTGCTTTTAATAGGAGTGACGATTTAATAACAAATATTATTATTAATTTATATTAAATGGTTATCCATTCATCATCCATATACTTAGCTGGCCTAAATGCCATAGGACCCTCCCTCTAACCTCCCTACAATAAAAAATAAAACAGCTGACTCTGGCTGCAGCAACCTATTGGAACAAAACATTATCGAGTGTTCTATTCTGAAAATGGGGGGAACATTGGCAGGTCATTGAATTCTGGCTCAACTTGTGTGCTGAATGTGGGTTGCTGTCCATCAAGCATACTGTAGATCTCGGAGAATTCTTGTGTCTGTGCTTGCGCAGTCTCTGAGCCCTGGTTGGTTGGTTGCCACTGCTGCCACATCGCAGGGTCTCTCCGGCTGACTCCTTGGGCATCCGCTCGGCCATACGCAGCCATGGTGGCTTGCACTGTGGGTAAAATAAGGCTAGAATTGTCAGGTTTGATCAAGGATTTGAGTGAGAAGGAGAGGGGTCATGTTGAAAAGGGTCAGCTAACTTACAGAGATGATAAAAATAAATGGAATCCTGAGGGGATGCGAAAGGATGGATTGTTGATCAGTCTCAGCATAGCAATTGTTAATTCAGTTTACACTAATAATCCCCTGCTTATAATACATGCTTATGGTTAGGTTAATCCAACAGACTTAATTTTAAATAATTAATAATATTAAAATATAATATTTAACTCATATTCTTCTAATAGCTAATTAATAATGATTATTCTAAATAGTTATTATTATAAGTATTTGAAAATCCCTGTTTCAATATTATTTCTTCACTAAAAAGTATTTAATATTTGTTCACTATATATTTAAAAAATATAGTTCAAAAGAAGTATACATTATCAGTCTTTTGTCATATATTTTAAGTGCCTATACATCATCATGATGTGATGTCATCATGACCATATTTAGGCATGTCACATGTCTTTGTCAAATCAAATTTGATAGTCTGGAGAAGGCTTAATATAGTATGTTTGTTTCAAACAATGTTTGAGCAAACATATTGTCTTGTCATGTGTTGGAACTTAGGCAATGCTTAGGTTCATCAGACTAATAAATCTATTAAAATATCGCTGAGTGTGACATACAAATATCTGATACTGTGTAGGTTTTTTGATGGAGCTGTAAAACAAATTCCAGTGCCAGTAGCTGGGAGTGATTTCATGACTCAGTACATACAATAACACCAATCAATAGCGCCCTCTAAGTTAGTACCTGTTTGTTTGTCCTGCTGTTGTTGCTGATATGAGAAGCCTATACTTCTTTGTGGGTTTGCCTGTAATTGTGTGTAGGTGGGTGTTGGTGATGACGTCTGATTACTTGCAGGCTGATTCCTGGAATACTGGGCAGGTGGAGTAGACACAGTTGATGGACCAGCCTAAATCACAAAACAAAGAAATGATTTCAAGATTTTTAATTTTGTAACAAATTTTACCAAATATTCAATGTTATGTTATATACAGTAATGCTTTTATACAATCAGTAAACTACAGTTGTGTGCAATCTCAACGACTGTTTCTGAAATATTTCTGAGAGATCAATCTTGATATGACCTTTCAGACACCTGATTATATTACAAAACAACTACCAAGTGAAAAAATATGAAATGAAGCTAAAAATGTGGGATAATTAAATATAAGTTACTCTAGACTAACTCACCTCTACCTGTGCTTGATATTGAGAGGATGGTGGCCAAGAACCTGAGCCCTGTAAAAAGCCTCCTTTACTAGCTTGTGCTCCTGATCGATCTTCACTCTGTACAGGACCATAACCATGCCCAGGTCTTGGCATCGGGTAGTTTGACACTCCATATGTCTGGGCTAGCACACCCGGCTTGCTGCTTGGGCCTTGAGGTATAGGGCCTCTGTACACAGAGTACCTAGACATGGCTTCAGCTTTGCCATCAGTCACCCGTTTGTCTTGGTTAGTCTCTGTATGTGGATAGCCTGCACCTTGGTGTAGACTGGTAGAGTAAGGACCTACTGTTGTCGCATCAGGGCCTTTCACTTTATTCACTCCATCTAGAGCTTCTTGTGTATGGGGCTGCTGCATATTTCTGGGGAGAACATTATAAATAAAAATATTAATTCATCATCTGAAAGATTATATTATCAATCTCAATAAAAAAAATATATATATAAAAGATAAATTAAAAACAAATATACATTCTGATTTCTAGCCACTCACTTTGCAAAAGAATTGGTAGATACAATATATTCCACTTCATCCGTGTATGGATTCTGAAAGCTAAAGGAGCTGGTTCGAATCCACACCCATTCACGATTCTTTCCTTGGAAACGATAAATGATTGACAGCACTTGCCCTTTCAACTTGACGACTACAAAAGAGACATAAACGAGATTGACATGTAGAACTGCTACAGCATCTAAAAGATATATGGTCCTTGTAGAGCCATTTCATATTGTAAGTTATTTTTGTTGTTTGTAGTTGTAGTGTACATTTTGACAGATCCCTGGTCAGCGACGAGGGCGTATCCCCATACTGCGGTTTGGGTGCTGGCTTGGGGTTTTCCAATTACATCTGTTCACTTGTGTTTGCACATACAAACCCTCATATTTTGCGCAATATAAATACATAACGTTTAAACTTTTTAACCTTTCGACTATTACAAAAAACAAATACAAAAACCTAAAGGTCCACTGTTAAATCTCTGATAAGAAAGTATAATACATACTCCAAGTATTGAAATGCAACACGATGGCATGCATTTCAATACTTGGTGTATGTATTAATACTTTCTCAACAAATACAACTTATGATGCAAAATGAGATTAACATGTAGAGCTGCTACACCATCTTAAAGATATAATGGCCTGTGTTTAGCCTTTCTTGTATTGTAAGTTATTTTTGTTGTTTGTAGTTGTCAAGTTGTCCTTTCAACTACTACAAACAAAAAAAATAACTTATGATACAAATAACAATAATGTAGAACTACTACAATATCTAAGTTATTCTGTATAGTGTGTAGAACAATAACATATACACCACCAATGGTAATTAATGAAAAACTGCAAGAATTCAATTAAATTAAAAAAAAAACAAAATCCTTAAAAACACAAGTAGAGGCAGTGATGGAATTGAACCAAGAGATCTCCATGATTCAGCACACACAGAGTGACAACTACTAGTAACCATTCTCGCTGATTGATTGAGCCAAGCTGCTCTGGTAATTAATAAAAGTTATTTTTTGTAACAAAAAATCTGTAAATCAGATTTTTGGAAGTTGATATGGATAACATATTTAATCCTCTCAAATGAGCTATTTAATGTTTTAATTGCATTATTCCTGTTTACCAGATTTTTTCATCAGACAGCAACCATATACAGTATTACACAAATGCAAAGCACGTCAAATTGTGATTCACAGAAGAGTAAGAGTAAACTGATTCCCGTTGGCTCACTGACCTTGTTCAAAACTTTCCCTTAGATGGGCTTGGTCTTCAGGATGGTAGAAGTCATAACTACACTTGCCCAGAAGTTCCTGTGGCTGGTAGCCCAATATTCCAACTACTCTGTTATACAAAAGTGATAACAAAGAAATATTTATTAAAACATAGAATAATCTATCACAAAATGTACAAGCTCATTGACTACACGAGTTAATGGCTTATTCTCAAACTTTTACCTACATTTACCTTAATAAAGAACATTTTTGAAGTTTTAAATATATGTCATCTTATTAACTTACTGAATGGAGAGGAAGAAGTAGTAATGCTAAATGCACAATTTGAAATTAAATTTCTTAGTTTACCTTTGATCAATGAATGTAAACTTTCCCTCCATATCCTGCCTTGATATGAACTCATTTGGTGTGCTAGCGCCCCCTAGGTCAGAGCAATTTGGTGTACTGGTAACTTGTAAACGACCAATAGCAACTAAGCAGTAGTGATTTGAATTGTGCCCATCGCCATCTACATCCTGCTGTTCCAGATTGACACCTGAATTGGTACCAAATTTTATAAAATATATTAATCCGCATATTGTACAGTAATTCTGCATTGAAGCTAGGATTCCATTTTTTTTTTTTGTGAAGTACACAGAAGCTTATTTATTCATTTACTTATTTACTAATTCAATTTTCTTTATACTGGATGGCACGCTCAATGCAAAGGCACTGGTTTTTGTTGGGGTCCAGTTAAAACACAAAAAATACTAAAGTGATTGGAAAATTTAGCAAAATGACTAACTTACAAAAATAAAGGAGACCAATTAATAATTGAGAGCATTTGTAAAGGTATATATTAAAAATCTGGAAATCCTTAGTTATGTTGCTAGGTAGTTGGTTAAAGTTCATGGATGCTCGACAATGAAATGTCTGTTTTCCTTGTCATATGTTCCATTGTGGAACTAAAAGAGGATTATTTGTCTGACTTCAAGTGTTTTTCTCATTTTCAAGAAAAACAAACATATTAATTAAATAGGAAGGTGCAAGTCCTTGAAGGCATTTAAAAGTTACAAATAATAATTAATCTCTCCATCTGTTATTCAGCGTTTGCCAGTTCAACAAGCTTAAAATATCATTAATTGGTGTTCTAATAGCACAAGAATGTACAAATCCTTCCTAAGGTGTTTAAAGAACTTGTAGGCTATTAGATAATTAGATGGAGCAGTTTGACCGTATGCAAGAACAATAGTCAAATAAAGGTAAAAGCAAAGTTTTACCTAACAAGAGTAAATTGAGGTACAAAATATCTGATACGACTGATGATACCAATCATTATGCGCTATACTTTATAAGTGAAACTTATCATTATTATTATTATTATTATTATTATAAACTTTACATTTTAACACCATGGACAAGAAATGCTCATTTTACAGGGTGTTGCAGGCAGGTCCGGGACGAGTATACTTGCCCTTAATATTATTCTTCTGTATTGTTTAATATGACATGCTCAAGTGTAAGTACAAGAAATTTCATAAAATTCAAAAATAAATTTGAGACGTTTGTTATGTTGTACTGGGGAACATTTCAACCTGATGGTGCTGATAATCTGGTGCTATTTTCAGGTAAATAGTTAGCATGACCATAAAAATCCAATCTGGAAATGGCTTGAAGCATATTAGCAATATATTTTGTTACTTCCTGTACATTATTCCCACACCCCTTTATAATTTTTATACCAACATTTATAATTCAATAATTGAGTATACCTCCAGCTGGTGGCCAGTTTTTAATGTATCCAGTACAATGGACAACGGCGTATTGCTCGCCCTCTTTTGTTGAGCCCAAGCTGCTACGATTTCTAGCTTGACAAAACCGTCCCATGGTGATGGGATCAACTGGGGCATTCCCGTATTTAATACGGCAGATGAAACCTCGTCGAGAACCCATGCAGAAGCGCATAGAAGCTAGAGGAAGAATAAAAAACATTTTAAAACATTTTAATTTTGAGATATGATGTATTAAGCAAAAAATATGTCTGTATTCATGAGGGCTCTCTCTCTCTCTAAAATTTGCTGATTTAACAATGTTTAGCATTAAAATTTCTCCCTGATCAGGTGGAATCTTTACCAGTCAGGCAAAGGATGTTAATTAATGACCCTTGTCAGAGCTACCCTCCAATCTCCTTTCCCCCCTGCAAATGACCTTCCAGAATATATATTGTACTGTTTTCACAAGATGAGCCTAAGCATGTACATTGTTGCTTTTTTCAGGTACATTTTTACCAAAGCATAAGAAGAAAATCAAAGAAATACATACATTGATGGCCTTCTTTCTTGACTGTTCCGGCTGAAATAAGGAACAAATATTTGTTTCAGAGAGACAGCAAATACATATTATGACTCTATACAAGTGATGGGGACACACCTACAATGATTAAAAATAAATATCATTACACTAACAAACGACGTGTCACACAGGTCATTCATTTTATTTCAGTAGATGCATACTGCATTCATATTACTAAGAAATATCATGTAAATAAATTTTAGAAAGAGGATGAACAGTAGAGAATGAAGATTGATACCAAATACATTTTATATTAATTATTCATCCAAACATACATTATTTTACACTGGTGCCAAATTAACCTCAAGCAGAAAATACCAAACCCATGCAATGATATACCAATTTGGTGTTGGATTTAATGAATTCAATATTGTAATAGATAAATTTAAGGCGTAATTTGAAGAAATATAAACATACAAATAGAAATTTTAATTAAATTGGAATTGAAAATTTCATGTTGACTCCAACCCTGCTTTTACCAATATAAAAGCTTTTTTGGGTGTGATTATGTATTTGTGTGTCCATCACCCTAAAAACAGATTGTATCTTGTTTCATTTCCTAAAGTTCCATACGAAGAGACTCACTTTTAAGGTCGAGAATCCTTCCGCTATTTGGCGGCTCCGATGTTGATAACTGTTCTCTCACCTTATCTGTATCGTCAGGATGTATCACGTCATACAGACTCTTTCCAAACCAATCATTCTGTTGAGATATAAACATTACCGTGATTAACAACTCGAATAATTAACCCGGTAGTAGCTACTATGCAAGATAAAAACATCAACAGACCAATCAACGACGTAGTTTAGTCATTTCCTACCGAGAGAAACGATAGGCAATGCTGACAAATCATCAGCGGATATCCTGCTAGGCATTTGAGTTTAAGTCACGGACTGGAGCTGGGTCTAAGTAGCTATATGGCTGGGAGATTTATTTATGGTCTGATATGGATATGGGAGGGATTAGTACATGGGTGTGTATGTTTAGGATCACAACATTGAGATCAGGAGTTCAAATCACTCAAGAAGTGGGTATCTGCACAGAAGTTGATTTAAATGCACCTACCGATTCAAATAGTACAGCTGTTCTGTGTTCTGTCCATTTTTTGATGTGTTTTCTTCTTTTGTGTTTTGTCTGCTTTGTTTTTTTTATTATTTTGTCTTGTCTATGTGCTTGTGTTGGATCTGTGTTTTGTCTCCTTTTGTATGTCTGCATATTTATTTTTTATTTTTTTATTTTTTGAAATTTTTTTTTTTTGGTTTCCGCAACTCTTAGCTTAAGATGTCATTTGCAATATTTTTATAAAAAAAAACTTTACCAATTCTGATTTTCTAATGTAATTTTATTAATTATTTACTTGTTTTGCATTTGTTTGTTTATTTACTTATCTGGATTTTTTATCTGTATTTTTTTTTTTGAACTTGCAATTTTTAGCTTAAGATGTAATTTTTTGCAATATTTTTGTAAATTTCTCTATTCCATTTATACTGTAATCTTATTAATCAATTTGTAATTTAGATGTAATTTCTCACAATATATTTGTAAATTTCTCTTTTCCATTTTATACTGTAATGTTATTTATCAATTTATCTTTCGCTTGTTTGTATTTTTCTATATATTTATATGTATTATAAGACATCCTGTAATTGGCTTCCGCTGTTGGATGATTTTCAAAATAAAATAAAATAAAATAAATGATACAATTAAAACATACTAAATAAAAATTTATATTTGTACCTTCCATAATGTATCACACTTATATTTTAGCTAATTGAATCTAGATTGTATAGTTTAGATTCAATTTAAATACACTTTTCAATGACATATCAAAAATAACTGAAATACAGGTCTCCCTCCAATTAAAGACGAACTCCAATTAAAGACCACTCCTCTGTGGTTCCACATTAACAATCGTGTCTTTTATCTTTATTATTCTAATTACAGAATAAAGCTGCTAAAAACCATGGAAACACCAGTTCTAAAAGTTGTCTTTAAATTCTAGGGAGATGTGTATGTTAGTTAATACATCAATTAATAAGTTTAAAAAGAAAACCCAATTTATCTATTATTAAGCCACTTGCATTCTGTACTAGATTATTAATTATTTAAAGCTAACATTTCTACATTTTCTTAATTAGTAATTACTTACCAACCCTCCTCAGTGTAAGAGTAAAAATAAAACATTTGCAACTATAACATAATAATAAAATCGATTAACTTTTCTGGTACCTAGGTTCACCAGCAACATGCCGGCCTATGATCTTTGACCTTACCTGCAAATGATGGAGGACAGGTGTTACTGAATCGGATACATAAATAATACGACCATTGTCACACGAGACCACAAACAGGAACCCATCAGCAGCCTATAAGATACAAGCAATAACAGTTTGCACTTTTATTTTAGCTACAGAACAGAACATCTTATTAATATTTCTTTGTTATTAATTAATTAACTATATTTTCTTTTATATAGTATGTTTTTCAAAATCATAATTGTTTTATCCAGACACAGATTGTTTACTTTAAGATTTTAACTAGATTTAATGGGTCATCTAAGTATTCAATAATATTTTCTCACTTGGTATATCGCCAATATAATATTTTTAATGCCAAATAAATAAATAAAAGTATAGCTTTTGTCTATATTTTTTCTTTTTTGTTTAATTTCAAGACAACAAACCAAATGACCTCTATCAAATTATTCCTTTATCTTTTATACATGAAAGTATATAGATGATATTTTACACTAAATTAAATTTTCAATTATTAATACAATATCATTATATCATAATTATTGTCACTGTCATCTGAAATCTGTCAGAGTCCCTTCAACATATATGTCGCACAGAGTGGGCAATATATACTAGATTCTTACAAAGCCTCAAGGCTGTATTATATGCAAATCAGATAGAGAAAAGACAATAAACTAAAAATGGATGAGTATAGATGTCACCTGAGGCAAAACCTCCATCAGAATACTTATTAGATTGTAACTTTTGAGAACAAGTGTTGGATGACAATCGACAAGATTTTACTGTCAATGCAGCGAAGAAGAATTTTAAAAGCCGAGATGAAATTCACCATATTTTCAGAAATTTTTGAATCAGTTTTGAATATGTTTATATATAATACTACAGCAAAAATATTAAATTATAATTGTTTGGAAGGTATTATTATTTAGTATAGGATAATGTAATGACACAAAGTATTCAATTTGACTCTATATTTGCTCATTTTCAATAGTAAGGACAATTACACTATAAACATGTAATGCTATATTTATAACCTACTGTATTGTTAAGTTTGGCAATCGGCAGTCATTTGAAACTTTGTGCAAGTTACCGTATAATGTTTGTACCACAGCAATCATGAAAGCAAATTTAATAAATTTAAAATAGTTAAAACATTGCTGTAGAAAATGTATCAGAATTACAGTACTACTGTAGACAAGAAGAAAAGTAAGAGGAGAAATACGTAGGCCAAAAAAAAGGCAGTTCTGAAGTATGTGCAACTTCTATACCAGGAATTTAAGCAACTCTCTTGATTAAATATTACTTACACATTACAAATATATCACTTCATACAGTACAGTAAAAAGCAGTAAAATTCAAATCATATCAATGACTATATATAATAAAATAAATAATTAAAAAAGGAATAAAATTATTTTCATGATAGCAACAATGTAAATTATTATCTATAATCATTGGATGCATTAATTTATATTTTCATTATTTAATTTCACTCTTTTGGAGTTTTGTTTATTGAATTACTATGTGGAATGTTTCGGAGAATTGAATGTCCCTCTGGCGATAGAAAGTTTTCCATTCCAAAGCATGGTTCCTGACCACTTTGTTGTTTGCAGTAGTTTTCTCATGGTGAATGAATAAATTAATTATATAAATTCTAATAATATATTTGAGAAGGTCAAATAATCATGTTGAGATTAGACCAAGGAGGTATTTATACCTCCTTGGTTAGACCAAGAATTGCTGAAGAATTACTGATGCGACATCAATTACAGTAAACAAAATTAGCCTAAGTAATCCACTTAATATTAATTAATTGCATAATAGAATGTACATCAAATCTGATGCGAGAGGACAAGATAAATGAATTTACCAATTGGGAGCATCTATCACACAAGATAATGCCATAACCGATGAAATATTTTATTAACTGAAATAAATCAGCTAATGACATGAAATTAATGAAATCACTAGAGAAACCTATTAAAGTAAAGCATCAATTTTGAATGTTGTACATTGATAACATTATTGTTTTTACCAAGTACTAATGAGGAACATCAATCTAGTCAAGTTGACTGCATTTGGCCTTTGATTAACTATAAATCTCTTTATAAAGCTACATTCACATCAAGCCCGGACAAAAAATCATGGGTTAGGTTTTTTGAATGCTGCGTTCACTACGCACATGGAAAAATGTCTAGAGAGGTCATTCATGCTTGTTGCTGATTGGTCTAACAAAAAAAAACGTACGATTTTATGATACAAATGGCTCTCAGATCCACCTCTCCGGGGTCCGGATCGGAACTCGTACGAATTTAATGTGAACGGTTCTATTCTTTAACACTGAACCCATTTTTCAAGATTTTTTTGTCCAGGCATCGGACCGGATTCAGGCTTTGCTGTGAACGTAGCTTTAAATCTTTGGCATTTAGATGTGTATAAGAGACAGCTGAACCCATTTTTCAAGATTTTTTTGTCCAGGCATCGGACCGGATTCAGGCTTTGCTGTGAACGTAGCTTTAAGCATGGGGGGTTGAGTTTTTTTTTTTTTTTTTTTGGAAGAAAACCATCTACATAATTTGGCAGGGTATAATCCAGGAACTTGGGATTTAAAGGTAAATAAAATTATACAGAATGACATCTAATAAGCTTACTGTACCTACTGCAATTAGGTATTTATTAGTGACTGTAATAATATTAAAAGAGAAAAGAACATCTACTCCACTAACATTTTTTAAATATATTTTACTTTCACCCTCCAACAATTTACTTGGTACAAAGAGCTTTAAAATATGAGTTTCGAGTCAGACGAGCTAGAAATGTAATTAATTACAAACGAGCCATAATTACTTTTAAAAAAAATTATTTTCTACGACTAACGTCTATCTTTAAAATGCTAACTCTTCTCGGTAAAATTCCAATTGGAGTGATTCATACAATTTCTAGCATTTATGTGGCACATAAAACAGGGCGATTGAGCCGTGTGGCACGCAGAAATTGCATTAAGAGGATCTTAGAGTGGAGGAGTTTAGACGCTAGTACACATCTGGCTGTTGCTTGCAGCTAATCTATTCTAATTTGATGCTAAGCTCATAGGATGTCTTAAGTGGCTTGCATGTGATTTTCTTTGTATGTGTGTATGTATGGGTATGTGAGGATGTTGTGTATATATGTGGGGAGTATTGTAATACTTTATGTAGTATTTTGTGTATGAGCAGAGTATACTGTATGTGGGAACTCCTGTGTATATGCAGCGAGTACTAATATTAAATGTAAATTAGCTTTGTAGAAAGTGTAGGATGTGCGAGTGTGAGTATGTGAGAAAATGCTTAGGCCTAAAGTACATTCACTTGAATTTACTTTATATTTAATTTCCTTGGCATAATGGCTTGGCAATGTTTATAATTACAAAATAGTAGCAATAAAAATTGATTTACTTACAAAGCAGAAGATTACAAGGTCTGTTCAAGCACTAAGTCTAGGTAAACTTGGTAAAATGTAAGTAATAGTACTCTAAATTATGAATGTAAAATGCCACTGGTTTCAAAGTTAAATAAAAAAAGTACTATATTACATAGGTAAATTTAGTGCAAAGGATCTTATTTTCACCCTTAAAATTTGGTATGCTAACCAGTGGTGGTATGAATATTACATGTGAAATATGAAGTATAAAACCATCTTTTTTCCAAACTTAATAATGTAAATTAATTTTGTAGTCCATAGGATTTTACTAGGTACCTATATAATCTGTGTATTAGATGTATCACTTAACCATCATGCAACATTTTAGAGGAATCATATACCCCATGAGACAAACCGTACACCCCTTGAGACAAATCGTTCATAGTACAAAATGACGATGCATAGCTAAGTTTCATTAATGTTTAAAAATTATATGCAATGAGAAATCACTGAGTAACATCCTAGCAAATGGGTCTGTGACGAGAGTACCAGACACACAACTAACATTGATGAGCGATGAGGAGAAAAGTTATTACATAAAATTCATCTGTAAAAAAAGTCACAAACAGTATCCATCTCAGAGAGCTGCCATTTTTGCATTTTTTTTTCTTTTCTTTTTTTTAAATAATATTTCTTTATTACAACTATACCTCTAGAATTAGGTGCTTGAGCTCTTGATCCGTAAGGAATGACGGTTTATATGCTCCTTCAGCATTTGTATTTCCAGTTCCTAAAAAACATGAAAGTAACACTCAAATACTAACATATTTATCACATTCATATTTTTTCTTCCAAATCCGATCAATCCCTCTGTTGAGAGAAGGATGTAAGGTCACAACAAAGAGTAGTTTTTGTACTCATTTGAAGATTATTAAAAAATGAATGACCTCCTAGCACTCTTGTTTCATTACATAGTAAATTATAATTTAAAATTTACTAGAATTGCTGGACTGCACTTAAAATTCAAAATAACCTTTACTGTATAAATATATCTTTCTTTTATTTATATATGTTTTGGACCTTAGATCACCAAACTACCACTGCACTCTTCTTCCATCATTTAATTAACAGTTATTGAATCTTTTAATTACATCCCCTATAATCTTTGGCATTTCCCGAAATGAGATATTACTTTCACTATGATTAGCTATTTTCTACTGTTTATTTCAACATTACATAAACTTACTAGAGAAAATAAAGGGAATTTTTTAACATTTAAAAGAAATAGGTTGCAAATATTTTGATGATATAGCTAATGGTTTTAGAAACTTAAAACTGACAAAGAATTATTAAATGTTTTTGTAGTTTCTTCTTACTCATGTAATTTAGATTTCCAAATTCTTTACCATGGTTTAAAACCACCTTAAGTATTTTAGAAATGTTCTTGAGATTTTGGCTGATATTAAATGTCACCCATGGATTGAATACAAATCATAAAAGTCAAACGATGAAATAAGTCTGATAAATATCTATTTTTTATTTAAGTTGTTAAAGGGGCCGAGTTCATACAGAATAATTATATAATTCTATTTGCAATCATGACATGTTTCTATGAGTTAAATACAACCATCTGTGTTTATTATAATTCAAATTATAATTTGAAGAAAATAATTCAGAAATTAAATTGCTTAGTTAATAAGGTTAGTAAAGATTTACTATATGTCAAACTTCAATTCTAACAGAATTATTTCACTTATTACAGGAATTAAAGTTTAGAATATTTTACATTATTTCATTTAATTTGTTTTTTATTTCAAAAATATTTTGTGAGGGTGTCCATCTAGCCGAAGCTTATCATTAGGAAGCCTCAATAAATAAAACAAGAAACAATGGAAATGAAATAGATTTACTAAATAATTTAAAGAAGCAAAAGAAAAAAAATGAAAACAGAATACAAAGAATAAGGTTTAACAAAAATAAAATATAATAATGAGATTAAATTGACTAAAATTAAATAAAAACAAAGCAAACAAAAAAGTTATGAAATTATACATTAATATGTATTATTCTCATGCCAGAAAGATATAAGCTTTCTATTCAAAATAATAAGTATATATTTTCATTGACAAATGTTTTCTTTAGAATTGATCCCAAAATTTAGCTGGTATAGTAAATCAATTAAAAAAAAACAATTGTATAAAGATAATAATAGTTTTAATCTGTCTCTCACTGAAAGTTAATAATACATTTGATCCTTTAAATAAGTAATTCAATATTTTAATCTAGGGTCAAGGAGTACAAAATATATCCAAGGGGTAAGAGTGTATTACTTTTTTTTATTCTACAGAATTTTTCCAAACTTTTTTGTTTATAATTTTTAAGATAATTGCCAATACTAAATTAAAGTTTGCTAAAGAAAACATTTCTCATAATTTTATCACACAAGTTGCAGAGTTGCACATAATGAAAATAAAACAAGAGACATTCCGCAAGTAATTATACCACATTGCAACTACAGTACTGTAAAAGTATTATTTTAGAGCTGCCTCCCAATACAAGCATTGCATCAAATCGCCTCCTATATTTCTATACTATAACTTTCAATTAGGCCTAGTCCAACAAAAAGCAAACCAGTGTCACCCTTTAACTAGACCAAATATTACTCTGGCATGCATTGTGTTAAATATGGTTAACAGAATTAATAAAGTGTTAATGCTAATAGAACTATATGTGCGGCACTTAAATCCCAGTGGCTGCACCAAACCTATGAAGATGTGATAGTTGACTCTATTATCCAATTATTCTTAAATGACTAAATTTACAGGTAACTTGAACAATAGATTAAATAAAGTGGAGATCAAATGAATTAACAAGTATGATTTATATATTGGTCAAAAGTGAGATTAAAGTGTTAATGCTAATACTATATACGTGTGACAATCAAATGTAACTGCTGGACCAAACATTTTAAAATGTGATAGTTGACTTTATTACCCAATTACTGATAATTAACTAAATTTATAGATAACTTGAACTATTGATTAAATGAAGGCAAATCGTGTACGTTATTGACCAGGATCAAAATTATCTGATGGGCCTCACCTCGCAGGGACTTCATATGAGACACAGCCATCCGCAAAATTGTCAGCTTGTCGGGTTTACGAGCAAGTGCGCTACATGTTGGGACCATGTCCGAAAGCTCGGTAATATATGCTGTCATTTTGTTTCGACGTCGCCTCTCAATCTCACTATGGTTCTCTCTGTAAAACAGATGATAAACATAATTTTGCAACATGCCAATCATCAGTATGCAAATATATATTAGTGATATTATGAATATGCATTCAAAATAGTTTGCATAACAAAGGAATTAGTCAGCATACAAAACAATACATGGCATTAGAAAAACATTCAAACATGGCATCCCACAAAACAAAAAAATTTTACTAAGACTACAACGAAGCAAAACATGCATGCTAATATCTGTACAGGGAAAGATAAGAAGAAGCCAAGACATTGAAGCGGGAAGAAAAATACAAATTAGTCATCTTCCTGGAGAAAAAAAAAAATGGCATCACAAAAACATCAACAAAAATTGAATGATAGTCAAACATACTGTAAGCCTAAGAAAAGCCCTATATCTTAAATTCTGAAACATGCATGCATTGTTTTTTTTTTTCATTCATATTATGCCTGAGGAGATTAACACCATAAACTGAGTGATTATTCCACTATTCCAGAAGCAGGTGCGTTTGTAATTGTTACCTCGCAAATCGCTCCTTATCAACCCTTTCATCATCTACACTTCTGCAAGAGAGAAAATTCAGCTCATTAAGGAGTGGTGCCCAGGGTCAGAGTGTAGCTTCCCCAGTCTATTTGTGAGTTGTAAACTGCTTGTTGAAGACCGTCAAAATTAGGTTATGATGGTACTTCCCACCTCGTCTCTTTTCCTCCCTCCATTCACACCCAAGGTTTTTACCCAATGGTATTCCTGTCTAGTTCAAATAAATTTCTCGAAGAACATAAAGTACTCCAATTTGAAATTCTTTCTTTCCTTTCTCACATTCTTCTCTTTCACATCTCTATTTCCCTACTCCAGGCTTTTACAGTACTTATTGCTAGTTTAGACCTACAATATGTAGTAATTTATAGTCAAGAGCATTAAGACAGGGGTCACAAGTCTTCCGGAACTCCCAGGAGTCTTCCAGAACTCCCAGGAGTCTCCCGGAAATCAATATGGTCTCTAGCAATCCTGCAAACAAGCAAAAATCTCCTGAAAATTCACTTATCTCTCCCAAATTCAGTAAAAAACAAACATTTTTGTTTTATTTAGGCCTAAACTTCGGTTGCTGATTATTTTTTGCAGTCTGACAGTGCCATTTCTGGGCTTCTAAAGGTGCCTATTCTAAAAAAATGTCATCACCTTAGCCCCAATCATGGTGGGCCTGAGGTGGGCATGGTCCATACACTTTTTCTCATAGAATATATAGCGCCCCCAATGTCATTAAACGAATCTCCTGGAAATGGGTTCTTCCAACTTGGGACCCCTGATTAAGATAATGATGATCACAAAAACAAATTTACTATAATCTATTATACTTTTATTATTATTATATTTATGACATATTTATCTAACAATGACAGTACCTGCAGGGAAAAGTTTATGCCGAAAACCCCTCCGCCTCCCACTAGACAGCGAAGCTGTCCTCTTGGCTACTGTACAACTGTTTTTATCACAGACCATTATTCCCTTTAAAAAATTCATTTGGTGTAATTCATTCTAAAATGTCTTAGAATGTTTGGAATTAGTCAGACCTCCATTTTCTGACAGTTTATCCCAGAGCCACAAATACTAAGTATACACTAACTCTAAATTGTTTGGAAAATTAAATCATTCCTATTTTTATTCAAGCATTTCTTTTTTTCTTTCTTTAAAGATAATTCAAAAACTTTTTTAATATTATCATTTTGCTGTCAATTGTTATATTAGATGTTTTATTTTTATTTTCCAAAATAAATTTACATCTGCTGATAACAATTGTGCAGTACATTAGTCATTATTGTGTATTTTACTTTTAGGTTATTTCAAGTGTTTCTTTGTCAAGAACAAAACAATTTTGAAGATTATGCCTTCTAATAAATGTCTGTAAAGACCAAAGCATTCTAAATCTAAATTATTAATCAAGTAATCAAAAGTCAAACTTACCTACCAATTAATAAATAATTACTTAATCATTAATTAATCATTATTATCCTCATTGTAATCAATTATTAATTTAATTACTCAGTCTGAATAACTTATATCCATCATTAAAATTACAGTATTATAATAATAATAATTACTATAATTATTACCATTATAAAATAAATAAATCTTCTCAATATTGAGGTCAGAATCATAAATTTAATCATCATTACATCATTAAAATTACTATTATTCACTAATTTAGATAATGATAGAGAAGATAACTAACAACAAAAGAAATCATTGTTGACTATATTATTGGAATATAATAACATACAATGTCTCTTTGTGACAATTCATTCAATGGCATACTATTAAGAAACTTGAGTGAAGATAAAATTTTTGTCATAATAAAACAATGAAAAATGTAATATTTTTTGTTGAAAATACAATTTACCAAGACAATTCTAGGCTCATGAAATACGATAAATTTGAATTTTACAACAGACTTTAATTCTAAATTTTCTACATAATTTCTATCCGAGCGATAATGTGAGAATGGACATCCCAGAATCTAACGGCATCCCAGGATTTGACACACTTTGATAGAAAAGGTCAAACATGAAATTAATACGCTTTAATTTCATGAAATAAATTTACAAATACAATCACCTGCCATAGTTTTTATTAAATATTTTATGATAAATAATCAGAAGTGAAGCTCACAAAAGAAACTATTAATTTATTATCAAATTATCATTTTATTATATAAATAGAATAAAACAAATAGTTTATATAAAACCAGTTTAAATTACATTACAGTAAGAATTTTCTGCAGTATGACTGAAATTATAATTAATTTAAAATGAAGATAATATTATGCAAATAATGTTTAACTTGCAGTTCATTAAATTACAATGTAATTCATGTTTTATATTAACAACTAATATACTAAACTATTAAACCAAAAAAGTATAATAAACTATTAAAATCATAATCCAATCATAATTTAAAAATAAATTATAATTTTAATACTTATGATGAATACTGTACAATATGTATAATTATTATATATGGATGGTATTTATTTTAACAATTCATTTATTTAACAATTCATCTATTAAAGACACTGACTACTAAAATTAATATTTTGAGAGTTTCTAAACCAAATTTATGAGTATAGTTTACTTCTCCGTATACGGTAAAATATAGGCCCTTAGTAATATTAATTTCTTCAAATTAATGTTGGATTTTTAAAAGTAGTAAAAATGATGCGTTCAAATTATTGCACAACTGTACACTAAATGTAACCATGATTCACGATTCAAATTAACTTGTTTATTCTTTGGTTCATCATTGTGTGAGCAAGAGGTTCCTTAAAGACATGTCAGAACGTAAAATGAGTGATGTCATCAAAATGTAAGGTGAACGATAGGACCTGGCAGATATGGAAATTGGACAAAGTGTCATAATGCATGCTTGATTAGTAGTAAACTGTGCAAAATAAGCCTACAGTGAACTTCAACACACCGCAATGAGGTAAAAAAACACCAAGAAATGCTGAATATGAAAGCATTTTTTCAAAGGTTTTGACAGATTTCAAAAGAGCTAATTGACATGTTCGACAAATACTGTACATCAAGGACAATACTGAATGAATAAATCCATATCAATTATGGAAATAAAAAAATAGCAAAATTTAAATTTTGACTACTATTGCTACAACACTCTAAACAAAACAAAAGGTACAGTACAATATGACATTTGGAAGAATAAAGTGGTGTACAGTATAACATAATATGAACACGCATTAATATGAAACATTTAAAGTAGAACATGTTTAAACATGAACATTAATATTTAACACAATTTAATGCAAATTTGTTAAATTAGTTAATATCAATTGATATCAACAACTCAAAAAACAAGATCAAGATAATATTTTGACAGGCATGAGGCATATTTAATAGTTTGACACTATTATTTGGGTTAGTAGTTGCTGTAGGCAGCAATATTTCCCATGCCTGCTGTAGAATATTTTTGCATAATGTAACATAATATCAGTGCATCACCTATCTTAATTATAATAAAGAAAAGTTTAAAGATATAAACATACAAAGACACAAGCACAAAACACAGAAAAAACACTTCGACCAATGAATTTGTTGACTGCCACACTTAAATCTACCGTATGGCAAAGGGTGCAAGGTTTCCAATGAGAGGTACAAGATCACAGACAGGGGTACACACCCAACTCCAGCCTCACCAAGGTGGGACCAAATTTTTAAGAATATTGTAGATAACCTCTAGATCCCCAAAAATGACACTCTCTGTAAAAATGTTTTTTCAAAGAAGTGCTCTCCGACGAAATGATTGGTTTCTTCCCTGATGGAAGGTAGAGGGTTCCCTGATAGAAGGTACAGGGTTCCCCAATGGAAGGTGCAGGGTTCCCTGATGGAAGGTGCAGGGTTCCCCGATGGAAGGTGCAGGGTTCCCTGATGAAAGGTGCACAGTTCCCTGATGGAAGGTGCAGGGTTCCCCGATGGAAGGTGCAGGGTTCCCTGATGGAAGGTGCAGTGTCCCTGATGGAAGGTGCAGGGTTCCCTGATGGAAGGTGCAGGGTTCCCTGATGGAAGGTACAGGGTTCCCCGATGGAAGGTCCAGGGTTCCCTGATGGGAAGGTCCAGGGTTCTCGGACAGCGGGCCTTGCGCTACCATTGCTTTAACTATGACTATGGCATCCCATGTACATTCACCTGTGTATCAATTATTGTACAAAATTTTAACAAGGCTATTAAAGGACAATTTTATTTTTAGAAACATCTTATCTTCATCATTCTCTACTCTGACAATCAACATATTAATTCATTAAACATGTTAAAATACAATTGAATCTGAAAATAATATCTATCATGTTTATTAGCTTTAGTACTAAACATTATACGGTAGGAACAGTGAATTCCCTGTGTCAAGGGATGGCAGGTACAAATGTTTTAAGTACCAGTACTATAGCATGAGCATTCCAGCAGGCGTAAAAAATGTTTTACTATGAGAAAAATTATACATTGATGGGTCAAATGCATGTAACTCTTTGTAGATTCAGGGGATCTACTGTACCTGTCCGCTTTCCAAATAGTTTGAAAAAATTTTTTTATCTACCTGAAATTTGTTATGGTGTAAAAAACAAACTTTGTTTGTATTTTACATATTACAAACATGAAGGAATGCACATGCGTACTGAGTCCCATCTCCTTTCCCTGTGAAACAGTGAACACATAAGTCCCCATCCCCTTCCTCCGTTTTGGACAGCCTAGGTGTAATAAGTATTTATAGTTAAAAAATTTGATGGGATTGTATTAGTAGGAATGGAATAATTTGATGATGGGAAAACCAACACACAAATATATCATAGAATACCTTGCATATTTGGTGGAACTTCCTTCATCATCATCTCCATCATCCCCTCTGCAAATTTGGAAAATTATGTACATTTATTAATTATGGTAATATAATAAACAGCAAATAAATAAAATACAGAAAATATAACTTACAACAAAAATAAAAATTACATATAACTTATACAGATACATACCCAGCCTTCCTTTTTAAGGGCATTTGACCAGGCTGCATTTTGTCTGTAAATGAGATAAAAATTTTAAAGACAATGGTCAATTTATAGGTTGATAAAAATCATATCTGGTATTATCTTCATACAGCATCTTAATTTTAAATCAATCTCAATATCACAAATCATAAAGAAATAAATCTTTTAATATTGTAGTACTGTACAAATATTAGTGGGAAAACCACATGAACAAAAAATGTTAAAAATAACAGCTAAATAGTGGACTATTTTTTATTGGTGATTACAGTGGGAAAACCCCACGAGCAGCACCATCATGCTACAGGTATTTTCTACTGTACAGTATCTTGTTGATTAAAGCATTCATTCTGCTAAATTGAGAAGACGACTTGAGTAATATATTGTAAGCACTACAGTAGTAATTTATTTTTACTAATACATTAATAAAATGATTAAAATTAAATCACTTTCTCTAGACTAACTATACACTCTACTTTACAGAATATATTGGCTAGCGAAATAATAATTATGTTTGTTTAAACTTATGTCCTGTGATTTTTGCAGGGAATAGTCACACAATATACAGTACTGTAGATATAGATAGTAGTACTGTACACTGACATACTGGCAATACAGATGTAAAGTACAGTATGTTACAAAGGAAAATACAAAGATATTTTCAAAATATAGATAAACCTGATCAAGAGAGAATTTTATGAGGATACACTACTGTACATGCAGTACTGATGACTGAGGATACATGCAGAACTGCATGTCACATTTTGATATTCACCCTTTATTATGACTTCTATTAACTAACAGTAAAATGTATTGCATTACATAAATGGTTCCAGCAAGAGTAATATTAATGTACAGTACATTGCATTTGCATATTTTTAAATAACCCCTACTATCCGATTACAAGCGTTGATTTAAATTATTGGGTGTACTGGGAATACTTGAATGTGAAAGGTTGTACCAGATGTGATAAACTATATCTTCTTGTATTGCTTGCTTGCAGTCGATTGTTGTGAATCATACAGTAGTATGCAATTCTATATTTTAAAATTCTACATAAACATTAAATTAATTTGAATATTCATTATAAACATGTACAGTTACATACAGTAATTTAATATTTCTTACAAAATATTACTGTATATAATTTTATATTTTAAATAAAAATTTGACATAATTCTTTCACTTACAGTACAGTAGCAAGTTTTAAATCCACTGTGGATGGTGCATGTAATGTGATATGCTGCATCGCATCTGATTTAATGAGTGGAGTTAACATAAGCAGTAAAATTACTACTGTATAGCCTCATGTATAAATTGAACCAGGACATGTACATGATTAGGATGCAAGCACCTCTACCAAAATAGGCCCGTTTATGGTGTCACTGTAAATGCACTATTTATGTATAATATTTAAAATCTCTCTTTGTAATTACATAATACACAACATGGTAAAAATAATCATCATTAGGTGAAAGTTGTTATGATACTACTTCTAGTCATGGTTAATGGTGCAATATCTATTCTACCACAAAAGTGGATACAGCAATCTATTTAATACTGTTTATTCCAACAATAGATATCGGTCAATATCAATGACAGGTAGATTACGCAATATGGAAAATACAGTAAATTAGAATTGTGTGGTAATATACAGTACAGTTATCTCTACAGTGCAAGATTGCATGAAAATGGTCAAATTTTTATTCTTTACAGTACAACTATCTTATAATATCTCCTAAAATATTTATGACGTTTATGCCAAAATAAAAAAAACAATTCTCATTCAGATTTTTCTTTTGTGAAAGAAGGAGACAAGATTGTACTGTACCTCCATAAAAAGGATTCATATATTTTTAAAGTGTCTATTAGATGACTTTTTGAGTGTTTTGCCAGTTGAAAGTAATAAAAACAAGGTGTGCAAATAAAAAAAATGGAGTGAGGCCTAAACAACAACATTTTACTGAAACAAAAACACAGAAACTTGATTCAAAATGCCTTTATTGTAAAAAGCCCATGAAATCTTGTGTAGTGTACAAAACCTTGAATGTGGATAGTAATTGTATTTTAGGAGAAATATAATGAATATTAAATTAAAATATTAATATGTTAATAAACTTTACATCCATAGATATCCAATAGATTCACTATAATAAATTAAGTTTTTTTTTTTTCAACAATAACAAAAATTAATTAAAATATGTACATTGTAATATCAATTCCAACACCCCAATAGACATACCAACTAAATACACCCTTGAACTCTGGATAACTCTTAAAAAATGTTTGATTCCGTTTATAATTCACCAAATCTCTGATTTGTCATGAACGAGCATGACGATTTGAAACCCAAGTTCCTTTGTCTACACAGAGAGCCTGGAATTGGTAAACATTTCTAATAATATCTTTGATGTAAACATGTTAAATGGAGTTCAAACGGCTTAAACTTATCAAAACACAATTCAGTATGACGACTGGTAATAAAGAAAAAAATGGGCATACAAACTATTGTAGTACTATACTGTTGGTTGCATAATGTCATTAATTATCTTTACAATCATCCTCCTTTTAATTTATTATGAAAACTAGCATGACCGAAGGTTAAAGCAATATATTTTATTAAAATCAATTATAGTTTTGTTGTACAGTGTGTATACATACAGCAATAAACAAAATTTATTACCTAAATCCCAAGGAGGAAACACCATACAACTGAGTATACAACAATAAACAAGGTTTATCTATGTATTTAAATATCACTTATGCATGATGTTATTGTTATGCAGTAGTTTTATATTTGTTTTACTGTAATTCAAGGATTAAATCAGAAAGAACACAAGTATTATTATTATTAAATGCTACAAATCATACTGGTGTATGTGTTTATATTTATATGGTAAGCTGTTTTTAACTGTATGCTATAATGTATGGAAGGGAAATTTAAATTAAAAATGAATTAATGAGTGAAGGTCAATATCTTATCCTATATTGTTCAGTTGTAAAGGAGTATGCATTGATACTTTGTATATTATTCAAATGACAATTTAATTATTTTTACTAAGGCTGACATACAATCACAAACTATAAATCAGATTGAATTATGATCTTGTCTGTCTCATAAAGTCGAAAGATTCACCTAAAAATGATTTATTTTACTAAAGCTTGCATACAATCACAAGCTATAAATCAGATGGAATTACCATCTTGTCTGTGTCCACCGAATTTATACAAATTCTCCATAGATCATTTGTCGCCCAAATAGCCTAGCTTGTATAATAACATGAAGTAATACTGTGTGGTAGTAGTTGGATCGATGTGTATAACATCAATCTGAGTAAAGTGTCTTTGTATTTGATGATTCCCCTTCCCTTGTGTTGTTGCAGACATTGTTTCATCTATCTTGCTCAGCCTACTATAGGCATGGAGTTCATTAAAGGTTCAATGTATTAAAACTTATTTTTAAATTTATTTATTACATATTCAGCACAAAATCACAAATTAGGAAATAGCCACACAGAGGGGTGCAGAGGGCACACCATGGGCTGAAAGCCCAACATAATATATGGGTATCCTCTAAACCCCCTGGCCAAAATGTAAATTTTAATTGCATTCCTTAAAATTAATTAGATAGGACTTTTAAAAGCCTATAGACGACAGTTTCTAGAGGTTTTTGCTCCCTGGATCCCCACCAAGACCCCTAGATGGCCCCCCTGGCCCCCAGCCAAGACTTGGGCCTATGGCCTAAGACTTCCTTATTTTGCAATTTGTCTCTCTTCCCCCCTCCCACTTTTCACAACGGATCGACGCCCTTGAGAGCAGTACTGTATATTCCAGAAAGAGAGCATTTAATGATTTGCACATGTAATTCAGATATTAAATAATTGCACTTGTCATGTATAGCACAGCTTCAGAAACTGATAACATCTGTTAGGTGTTGACAAACACCTAACTACTATAAAATAACTAACAGTATCTATGAATGTTATTAAAAGAACAGCATTTGATTTTCTTGCTCAGTAATTTATTATAATTATGGAATATTAGCAAATCATTCACACCGTGGCGGTAATGTTCACATTAGCATTTGCAAGCATTTTGTCCTTGGCATGATGGGTGGCCTAAGGCTGTACACAACTTCCTCACCATCTAGACTGACTCGCTTTGTTTGTGCTCATCTCCTGAATCATCACTTGTTGAATTTACAGTATATCAATATTCAAATAATCAATTAATAATATTCCATTATCTCAGAACTCAATACACCGGGATTGTACAGCACAGTATCCAAACATTATTATTTAACTTAACAAAAAACATTTTATGAACTTCCATTCATTTGTTACTATCAATTAGGTATTATTTATATTTGTTTTAACACAATATTTTGAGTTATTTATATTTGTTTTAACACAGTATTTTGAGAGGACGTCATTTACAGTACTGTAGCTGGAGAGCCTGATCAATTGTTAGCATCAACATTAGTGCGATGGACCTATAACATTGTTTTAACACAATATTTTGAGTTATTTATATTTGTTTTAACACGATATTTTGAGAGGACGTCATTTACAGTACTGTAGCTGGAGAGCCTGATCAATTGTTAGCATCAACATTAGTGCGATGGACCTATAACATTATCTACAGTATTTTAAAGACTAAAAACAATACTGTAAATGAGTATAGAACAAGAACAATTCATTATAAACATTAATATAATATACAGTAGTTTCAAAAATACAGATGAACTTTATTTCATCCTTTTCCACAGGAAATTACATAATAAAATTTTATAAAATACTAGTTAAAGAATATATTTGGGATGGTTAAAAGAAAACATTTAACAACTTTCCCAAATAACAATTTTCATGATTTTTCATGTGCAGTTTAAGACCTACAGTAGTTACCAATTTTAGTATTCTTAAAACGAAATCTTATTTTTGCAAGTTTTAATGAGTTTTTTTTTAGGTGAGACTTTTTACCTTGTTTAGCGGACCCTCCAACCATTAATAATGGTGATTTTGAAGAAAAGTACAA